CATGGTGCAGCAGGTCCTTCAGCGCTTCGGCTTCACCTGGTCCTCGGCACAGGCCACTCCTCTGGCTACAGGTCACTCGCTCTCAGCTCCACCTTCGGACGAGTCCGTAGAGTCGAGTGGTCCTTACCCAGAGCTAGTGGGTTGCCTCATGTACCTGATGACCTGCACTCGTCCTGACCTTGCGTACCCTCTTGGCCTTCTGGCTCGCTACGTGGCTCCTGGTCGGCACCGAAAGGTGCACATGGATGCTGCTAAGAGGGTACTACGCTACTTGTGCAGTACATCGGGCATGGGGCTCGTGCTTGGAGGACGGAGCGACGTTGTCCTCACTGGGCACTCAGACGCTTCTTGGGTTGACGACCAGGCTACGCAGCGGTCGTCACAGGGTTACACCTTCAGCCTTGGCTCTGGTTCGGTTTCTTGGCGTTCTACACGCTCGTCTTCAGTTCTCAGCTCCAGTTGTGAGGCTGAGATCTACGCCACAGCCATGGCTGCACAGGAGTTACGCTGGCTCACCTACCTGCTGACCGACTTGGGAGAGCGGCCTCGTTCTCCTCCAGTGCTGTACGTCGACAACAAGGCCGCCATTGCCTTGTGTCAGGAGCACAGACTGGAGCACAGAACGAAGCACATCGCTCTGCGTTACTTCCTGGCTCGAGAGTTGCAGCAGCGTGGTCAGCTTCGTCTTGCTCACGTGGCCACTCGGGCCAACACTGCTGATATATTCACCAAGGCGCTTCCGTCTGGTGATCATCAGCGTTTCTGCACTCTGTTAGGCCTTGTGCCCACGTTTCCTCACTTGCTGTAGACTTTGCTTGTACTGTGATCTATATATACCTGCATGCTTGCTCTGCTAGGTAGAGATCACTGTGCTGTTGTTTTTTCATATATACCCCTGCATGTGAACTGGCCTTGTGGCCCTTTGCTTGTGTTCAGTGTGTGTGGTGACGTTGTGATCCACCCTGAGCTTGCTTTGCTTCTCTTGACTGGTCTTGTGACCCCTTGCTCTCCCCCACTTTGCCTATGGGGGTGTGTCAAAGTATATGCATGCCTTATATGTGTAGGCTGTAGTGGGGTAGCCAATATGGGGTACAGCCCCTTTTAGGGTTTCATACTTGTACCCAACTCTTTCATAGTCCAATCATCCTTGCTACTAGATTCTGACAGGAAAATCGGGACAGACTTAGTTAAAATCTTCGTAGACGGGGGAGCCAGCCACAGCCTCATCAACACTGCCACAGCACGGAAACTGAAACTGCCACTGGACAGATGCTTACCTGAGATCGATGCAAGACTGGTTGACGGCACGCCACTGGCGATACGGGAACGCGTAGACCGAGTTCGGATTCGATGCGGGGGTAACTTCACGTTTAGCCAGTAAATGCTCGCGACAACCCTCGACGGAACCGACATTTTACTCGGTCGTGATTGGCTGCGACGACACAACCCGCGAATCGACTGGACGACGGGTGACTGCACCGTGCGAGTGAACGGTAACAACATCGCTTTACCTCGCTGGGGCTCGCCTGAGTCTTCGTCGGTGCGTGTCAATGCGATCACAATGAAGCGCGCCGTAGCGGCAGGAGCTGACGTGTACGCGGTTGACATTCGGGAAGCCGAGTCAGCAGACCAAGGGGGGGATTTACAGAAACTGCTCGCCGACGTACCGGATGACCTGGCAGCACTCCTGAAGCAGTACAGTGACATATTTCCGGACGATCTGCCGACGGGACTGCCACCTCAGCGACCGCACGACCACAAGATAGAACTAGAACCGGGAGCACAGCCAACAGTACAGCGACAGTTCCGACTGACCCAACCCGAACTGGACGAACTGAGGAAGCAGCTGGATTACCTGCTCGAGAAAGAGTTCATTCGTCCGAGTTCGTCGCCCTTCGCAGCACCGATACTGTTCACGCCGAAAAAGGACGGGGGTTTTCGCATGTCCATAGATTACAGAGTACTGAACAGGGTTACCATTAAGTCCCGTTACCCCATCCCACGAGCCGACGAACTGATCGACCAACTGCGCACAGCCCGGGTTTTCTCGAAAATCGACCTTAGAGGAGGTTACCACCAGATTCGCGTCAACCCACCCGACTGCCCCAAGACAGCTTTCCGAACACGCTACGGATCCTTCGAATACACCGTCATGCCCTTCGGACTGACCAACGCCCCCGCTACTTTTCAAATGACAATGAACGAAGCTTTCCGCCCGCTTTTAGATAAGTGCGTCATCGTGTACCTCGATGACATACTGATTCACAGCCCCGACCGCGCACAGCAGTTACAGGACATCGAAGCAGTTTTTAAAATACTGCGTGAGAACCGCCTACTGACCAAAACCTCTAAGTGTGAGTTTTTACAGGACCGCCTAGAGTTTTTGGGACACATTATTTCAGCTGAAGGAGTGGAAATAGACCCGAAGAAAATCGCGACGATTCAAGCATGGCACGCGCCGACAAACTTGACTGAGTTGCAGAGTTTTCTGTGGTTCGTCAACTACGTGCGCCGGTTCGTCCCCGACATGGCGAAGTTGACTGCCCCGTTGACCGACCTGCTGAGGAAGGGGGTTGAGTACACGTGGGGGGAGAAAGAGCAAGCTGCCTTCTCGGCCCTCAAAGAAATTTTGTGCTCGCCGCCCGTACTTCACATTGCAGATCCGCACCGTCCGTTCGAGCTCGTCACCGACGCTAGCGACATCGCCGTGGGAGCAGTACTGTTGCAGGATTTCGGGAACGGCCTCCAGCCAATCGCGTACGAGTCCCGCAAGCTTCACCCGCCCGAACGCAACTACCCGATACACGACCGCGAGATGCTGGCAATCGTGCACGCGTTCAAGGTGTGGCGATGTTACCTCACGGGAGCAGACGTGACAGTACGGACAGACCACCGATCGCTACAGTACCTTCGCGCCCAACCGAATCTCAACCCGCGACAGATTCGCTGGTTGGACTATCTGGAGTCCAACTTCCACTACACCGTCACGTACAAAAAAGGTGCATCCAACATCGCCGACGCACTCACACGCCCCACCGCCCAACTCCACGCCATCCTACTCGCCCAAACCAACCCACTGCTAACTGGCCTATTCACCCACGGATACAGTACCGACCCATTTTTCACGACTGGAAATTCACAGCAACTGGCTGAAGCAAAAGGAGCCTATTACGTAAAAACAGGCACCAACCGCATTTGGGTACCCGCGTACTCACTACCGAGGGAACTGTTAATGCAGGAGGCACACGACGGGATTACCTCGGGACATTTTGGGGTGGAAAAAACTCGACAGCAATTGCAGCGGTATTACTACTGGCCGGAGCTGTTGACCGACGTACAGCACCACGTGGGCTCGTGTCCTACGTGTCAGGTGATGAAGAGCTCGCGAAAGAGAAAGGCGGGTCAGTTGCAGCCGATTCCACCGCCTGAGCGCGCCTGGCAGCAGGTTACCATGGATTGCGTCACAGGGTTACCTTCGAACCCTGGGGGTAACGACGCGGTTATGGTCGTCGTTGACAGGTTGACGAAAATGGCTCACTTCGCTGCGTGCAAGAAATCGATCTCAGCCGAAGAAACCGCTCGCCTGTTCATCGCAACCGTCGTTCGACTACACGGGATACCAGCCGCGATAATCAGCGACCGCGACACGAAGTTCACCAGCAATTTCTGGAAGAACCTCTGGGAGCAGTTCGGGACCAGGCTACAGTTCAGCTCGTCGTACCACCCCGAGACCGACGGTCAAACGGAGCGGACGAATCAGACAATGGAGCAGTTGATTCGTGCCACGTGCGACGACCCGACAACTTGGGAGCAGCAGCTACCGCTGATTGAGTTCGCGTACAACAACGCCACGTCAGCGACGACGCAGCAGTCCCCATTCTACCTGAACTACGGGCAAAACCCTACAGTGCACATGACGCCGAGTCCGGACAACCCAACGCCACGTGCACAGCAATTCGCCGAAATTCTGCAAGCTGCCCGCACCAGAGCCGCTGAAGCAATCAAAACAGCAAATGTCATCGCTAAGCGCAACGCTGACCGCCACCGCCGCCCAGTCACATACCAGTCAGGCGATTACGTACTGCTCGATACACAGAACTTAAGACTGACCGTCGTACCGAAATTACGACCCCGCTACTGTGGACCATTCCAAATCAGCCACATGATTACCCCAGTGACAACCCACTTACTGTTGCCGACAGACTGGTACATCAGCCCATCATTCCACGTCAGCCTACTTCGCCCCTACATCCCAACCACAAGCCAACTGCCTCGTCATCGCCCGCCCTCCATGACTCGCCCTGCATCGGAGCCGATCATCGAGCCCGAAAAGATCCTGAGCCATCGGATTCGACACCCCACGGGAATCAGGAGGATTGAATTCCTCGTTCGCTGGAAGGACCGCACTCCAACTGAGGATAGCTGGGTGCCCCTGGCCAACATCGAAAACCACCCTGCCCTGCAAGTGTACCTGAGGAGCCGGGGTTTCCGCGATATACACGCACTCGCGTAGCGGAGGGGGCTTCTTGAGGGGGGGGGTAGTGTAAGGAATTTTCTCGACATTCCTTAGCGCAGCCCGCAACATCGCGTACAGCAACAGCCGTTGTTCGCCCGTTACTGCTAACGGGGCTTCGCCAACTTCGCGCGCACTGTTTTCACCAAACCTCGCACTGCTGGAGCAGCCGAGTCGGCCTACGCTTCGAGACTAGCCCGAACCTCGCGCCAGCGCAGCATTAGCTAGCTCGCACGCGCCGCGTCACCGTTTGCATGTTTCGCGTATAAATGTTCGCTCATGCCTTCGCTCACAGCTTGTACTTTTTGACACCTTAGTGCAATCCTCGCTACCTCGATTCATTGCACCCGTAACATACTGCCTCTACTACTGCAGTACTGTATTGTCTGTAGAATTATGTACTGCCTCTACTACTGCAGTACTGTATTGTCTGTAGAATCAGGTACTGCCACTACTACAACAGTACTGTACTGTATTGACTGTAGAATCAGGTACTGCCACTACTACAACAGTACTGTACTGTTTTGACTGTAGAATCAGGTACTGCAACTACTACAACAGTGCTGTACTGTATTGTCTGTAGAATCAGGTACATCCTCCCCTTGCATGTGCGCCGTCCACGTGCCACCACGCATCCCACCACGCATCCCACCACGCATCCCACCACGCATCCCACCACGCATCCCACCACGCATCCCACCACGCATCCCACCACGCATCCCACCACGCATCCCACCACGCATCCCACCACGCATCCCACCACGCATCCCACCACGCATCCCACCACGCATCCCACCACGCATCCACCACGCATCCCACCACGCATCCCACCACGCATCCCACCACGCATCCCACCACGCATCCCACCACGCATCCCACCACGCATCCCACCACGCATCCCACCACGCATCCCACCACGCATCCCACCACGCATCCCACCACGCATCCCACCACGCATCCCACCACGCATCCCACCACGCATCCCACCACGCATCCCACCACGCATCCCACCACGCATCCCACCACGCATCCCACCACGCATCCCACCACGCATCCCACCACGCATCCCACCACGCATCCCACCACGCATCCCACCACGCATCCCACCACGCATCCCACCACGCATCCCACCACGCATCCCACCACGCATCCCACCACGCATCCCACCACGCATCCCACCACGCATCCCACCACGCATCCCACCACGCATCCCACCACGCATCCCACCACGCATCCCACCACGCATCCCACCACGCATCCCACCACGCATCCCACCACGCATCCCACCACGCATCCCACCACGCATCCCACCACGCATCCCACCACGCATCCCACCACGCATCCCACCACGCATCCCACCACGCATCCCACCACGCATCCCACCACGCATCCCACCACGCATCCCACCACGCATCCCACCACGCATCCCACCACGCATCCCACCACGCATCCCACCACGCATCCCACCACGCATCCCACCACGCATCCCACCACGCATCCCACCACGCATCCCACCACGCATCCCACCACGCATCCCACCACGCATCCCACCACGCATCCCACCACGCATCCCACCACGCATCCCACCACGCATCCCACCACGCATCCCACCACGCATCCCACCACGCATCCCACCACGCATCCCACCACGCATCCCACCACGCATCCCACCACGCATCCCACCACGCATCCCACCACGCATCCCACCACGCATCCCACCACGCATCCCACCACGCATCCCACCACGCATCCCACCACGCATCCCACCACGCATCCCACCACGCATCCCACCACGCATCCCACCACGCATCCCACCACGCATCCCACCACGCATCCCACCACGCATCCCCACCACGCATCCCACCACGCATCCCACCACGCATCCCACCACGCATCCCACCACGCATCCCACCACGCATCCCACCACGCATCCCACCACGCATCCCACCACGCATCCCACCACGCATCCCACCACGCATCCCACCACGCATCCCACCACGCATCCCACCACGCATCCCACCACGCATCCCACCACGCATCCACCACGCATCCCACCACGCATCCCACCACGCATCCCACCACGCATCCCACCACGCATCCCACCACGCATCCCACCACGCATCCCACCACGCATCCCACCACGCATCCCACCACGCATCCCACCACGCATCCCACCACGCATCCCACCACGCATCCCACCACGCATCCCACCACGCATCCCACCACGCATCCCACCACGCATCCCACCACGCATCCCACCACGCATCCCACCCACGCATCCCACCACGCATCCCACCACGCATCCCACCACGCATCCCACCACGCATCCCACCACGCATCCCACCACGCATCCCACCACGCATCCCACCACGCATCCCACCACGCATCCCACCACGCATCCCACCACGCATCCCACCACGCATCCCACCACGCATCCCACCACGCATCCCACCACGCATCCCACCACGCATCCCACCACGCATCCCACCACGCATCCCACCACGCATCCCACCACGCATCCCACCACGCATCCCACCACGCATCCCACCACGCATCCCACCACGCATCCCACCACGCATCCCACCACGCATCCCACCACGCATCCCACCACGCATCCCACCACGCATCCCACCACGCATCCCACCACGCATCCCACCACGCATCCCACCACGCATCCCACCACGCATCCCACCACGCATCCCACCACGCATCCCACCACGCATCCCACCACGCATCCCACCACGCATCCCACCACGCATCCCACCACGCATCCCACCACGCATCCCACCACGCATACCACCACGCATACCACCACGCATACCACCACGCATACCACCACGCATCCCACCACGCATCCCACCACGCATCCCACCACGCATCCCACCACGCATCCCACCACGCATCCCACCACGCATCCCACCACGCATCCCACCACGCATCCCACCACGCATCCCACCACGCATCCCACCACGCATCCCACCACGCATCCCACCACGCATCCCACCACGCATCCCACCACGCATCCCACCACGCATCCCACCACGCATCCCACCACGCATCCCACGATGATTAAGAGCCATAATGAATGCACAAAGAATGGCAAACAAGACAGCAGCAATGGCAAACGAGAAGGAGATATCAAGAACAAGCTGGCAAGGATGGCAAACAAGAAAAGCAACGAGAAAAACAAGGCAGCGTTTGAAGGGTTAACCGGGGGGACCTTCTGTTGTACCAAGTCTGAACCGGGGGGACCTTCTGTTTTACCAAGGGGTCACCTTGCAAACCTGCTGATGAACTCACATCCAGAGAGGGTGGTGGCTGTGGGCGTCGCCTCTATCGGTGAGATTTTCAAAGAAAAAAGCGGAAGACAGCGAGAAAGATCAAGAGAGAGAGTGAGGAGGGTAAGGAAACTCGGTTGGAGTGGATGTCGACTGCAGACCATCATTGAACCGCCTTCCGCCTCGCGCCATCCGCCTCGCTCCGTCCGCCTGCAATGGCGTGCTCGCACTCGCGCGCCCAAACGGGTGGTCAGCAGGGCGGGTAGGAGGCAGCCACACGCCTGTGGCTGCCGGCCGTGCGTCATCCCACCACGCTCGCCCTCCTCTTGCATGCGCGCCGTCCTCATGTTTGCCCTGCCAAGGAGAGAAGGAAGGAGTCAGAGCCAAGGAGGATAAGTAAGTGACCAAGGGCTACCAGAGGACTTGCCATTGAGCAACGTCGACGGAAATTTCAAAGACAAAAAAGAGTACGACACTGAGAGAGCTCAGGAGAGAGAGAGTGAAGAGCAGAGGGCAAAGGAACTTACTAGCCGGTTTGATTTGTCCTCCGCAGCTGAACGCTCCATCCGCCAGCAGCACCGCCTCCTCGCCTCGCTCCATCAACCGCGCATGTCTCTTCCATCCGCGCATGTCTCTTCCATCTGCGCATGTCTCTTCCATCCGCGCATGTCTCTTCCATCCGCGCATGTCTCTTCCATCCGCGCATGTCTCTTCCATCCGCGCATTTCTCTTCCATCCGCACAGGCCGTGAGGAACACACACGCATGGGGAGAGATACACAGCCATACAGAGGCAACATAACAAGGTGGGTTAGAAGTAGCTGGAGGCGAGTGGTGGAGCAGCAAGCAACAGACACGACTCTTGCCTCTGCGCGGCGACCCCCTACGAATCTCTTCACTGCCCCTCTGCAAGCACCCCCTGGCACGTACCATGCTCCGTCCGCCACTCTCCCACTCCTACGCCACGCTTTCACTTCAGGCGTGCTGCTCTTGGTTGTCTCTCGTGCGAGCCAGCAACAGAAGCCTCGTCCATTCCGCGTCCACTCCGTGCCATTCCCCTTTACCTCGCAGACCATGAGGCACACACACGCATGGGGAGAGAAAACACGGCGCAAAAGGAAGGGTTAGGAGCAGCACGAGAGGAGGCGAGCAGCGGAGACAAGGGCAAGAGACACGACTCTTGCCTCTGCGCGGCGACTCACTACCCTTCCCCCCTGCAAGCATCCCCTGGCACGAACCTTGTTCCGTTCACCGCTCTGTCGCTCCTGCGCCACGCTTTCACTTCTCCTCGCTGGGACGGTCGTTGCCTCTCGTGGGACGGTTTCCATCCACGCGTGTATCTTCCATCCGGGCGTGTTGCTTCCATCCGCGCGTGTCACTTCCATCCCATTCGCGAATGTCTCTTCCATCCGCGCGTGTCTCTTCCATCCGCTCGTGTCTCTTCCATCCGCGCATGTCTCTTCGAACCACAAAGTCTCTTCGATCCGAGCAAGTCTCTTCAATCCCTGCAATTGAAACCACCCAGTATATTAAGATAATGACATAAGAAGAAGAAAATAAAAACGGAAAAAGTATGGACAGAGAAAGGTCCGTCCCTGGAAACGCAGGAAATGTCGTCATGAGCTCTCAGAGAAGGGAGCGTCATGAGCTTGCCAAGAACGCAGCTTCACCTGAAGACGACGCAAGTAGCAGGTCGAACGTCTCGAATAGCAGGTCGAGCGAAGCACGTAGCAGGTCGAACGTCTCAAGTAGCACATTTAGCGTCGAAAGTATCAGGTCGGGCGTCGCAATAAGCTGGTAAAGCATCGCAGTAGCAGGTCGAGCGTCGCAAGTAGCAGGTCGAGCGTCGCAAGTAGCAGGTCGAGCGTCGCAAGTAGCAGGTCGAGCGTCGCAAGTGCACATGTAGCGTCAAAAAAAGCTTACGTCGCGTCGCTAGAGAGATGCAAGGAAGAACGACGTGGTCGCTTCTGAGCAGCAACTTCGTAGCCTCCATATCCCTAAACAAAACTCATCGATCCGCTGGTCTTCAATCCACCGTACTAGTGTCTTCAATCCACGATCGTTAGAGGTACAGAGTTGGTTAGACCGCCGCGTTACTGTGAATCGAAGAAGCTCATGCCATGATAACTCCAGCAGATCGTCCAGGAAAAATACAGCTTATGATTCTACTATGACTAAGTTGCTCCGTGACAAAGAATCTAGCAGCTTATGTTTCTACTACAAAGAAGTTGCTCCGTGGCAAGGCGGCGTTTCCTCGTTGCCTATAGACCGCCTTTTTCACGATATTATGTTACGTGACTGGAATAATCGGTGGGAAGGACGTGAGGGAGCCATGGGAATCCGAGCTAAGAAACTCTCCCTGATCTTTGCTGGGACGTGTGAAGGATTGCAAAAACGTTTCCATGATTGCCCGGCTGGAGAGATGGGGAACTCGCAAGCAAGCGAAGTGAGGGGAGGGGAGGGGAGGGGAGGCAAGGCCCAAGGCGAAGAGGAGAGGTGATTTGCGTTACCATGAGCATTCGGCAAGCCCAAGGGGGACGCCGCATGGTGGTGATGTACTGACAGGCGGCGGAAAGTCTGCTGCGTTTTTTCCGCCAAAAGGGGGGAAAACTGAGTGTGATGGAGTCAGCGGCGCGGCCGAAAGAATCGTCGAGGAGTCAAATGTTTCGCCAAAACAGGAAGCACAGTGCGAACCTAGTGATGGTTTTTGCGAAGCGTAACCGTGATGGCGCCGTTAAGGCTCGCGTCTCATATTTCTGCCATCCAACCAAGTGTTAAACGGTTGGAATCCGGTAACAGCAGAGTTTGTCGCAAAGCACACCAAAGCAAGGGGTGGTTTGGGAAAGTTGGCTGTCGCACACTTCCCCGTGCACACCAAGTGTTAACAACTCTCGAAAATGAGACTCTGAACTCAACGTTGACAGAACCCGGGACCAAACCTGTCCCCCTTGGCTCGTTTTCCACCCAAACCAACCCACCCTGGTTTGTTTTGGCCTCGACTGTTTGGGAGTTCGCTGTGTTTTTTTCACCCACTCGTCAAATAATTCGTCATTCGTTACCCAATCACAGACGGGAAAACCCAACCAAGTGTTAAAAGGTTGGAAAACTGAGACGCGAGCTTTAACCACTGACAACTTTCCGACTTCCGCACCTTTGAGAGGGGCCAATCCCCGCGAACTTTCCTGCACCAGCGCAGCGCACTGTTTGCGGAGTTTGGCGGGAGCTCCGCAGCACAAAACTGTAGACCGATAGCCTGAAGATACCATTAGAGACATTATTACGGTCAAAACTGTACACATGCACACATGAGAACAAGATGACCACAATGAATTACACTACTTTTTTCCATGGATAGACAGTGACAGTAATGGTAAAACAGGTTTAGAGATGAAGAGAAGAAGACTTCAATATTTGTATTCTAGCAGAAAAAACTGCCGCTTTTTTATGCGCCATTGACATAAAATGCTACTGCAAGTTGGATCAGCTTGGCACCAATTGACAGATTTCAGCTCACAATCTGAAATGCTGATAACATTCATTGTGCTTGGTAGCATCGAGCAACGCATTTCCTTTCGTAAATCTGTGCAGTAAAACTACATAACTTTCAGAATCAACTATGCTATTATCAATGCAGCACAGTCATGCCATCACGTCCTGCAAACGACCCCACCGCCTTTGAGGATTTATAACAGCGCTCTCACTTGCCGCCCGCCGTCCTCCCAACCACCACCAGCACAGCAGCAGCACATTCACGCCATGACAACCAGGTCAGCCACGACAGAGTGGCACCGAGCACACAGCGTAGGGTGCCCTGCAAGCGACCCCACCGCCTGCGAGAAGTTCCAGCAGCGCTCGCACTTGCCGCCCGCAGCCCTCCCCACCGCCACCAGCACGCGTGCGGCCTCCCCGTTCCACTGCACCTCCACATCAGATGAGAACTCCAGGCCGAGCGAGGCAAGATCGGCCTCAGAGGGAAGCACGTGGACTTGGGAGGAGAGGAAGACGGTCCTCAGGCTGTCCACTGCTTGCAACTCCTTCAACCCCTTCTGCCCGCTCCCTTCCTTCCCCTCCTCTGCTGCTGTGTTGGCTGCGGCATTGCTGGAAGCGGGCGAGTCGGAGAGGGCTAGCAGGGCGGAGGAGAGGGAGGGGGTGGGCGTGTGCAGGTAGACAGCAGCGTCGAGGTTGGCGCCGATGAGCTTGCCCATGCGCGCCCTCTCCATCACCTTGTTCACCTCCGATCGCAGCTGGCAGGGCACGCAAGGCAACAAAGAGAAAAGGTTGATGTAAAAACAAGCTCCAACACTTGCTAACTTCTGTTGGCGCCTATGATCTTGCCCGTGTGCGCTCGCCCCATCACCTTGCTCACCTCCGATCGCAGCTGGGGGATGGGAGGGAGGGAGAGGAGAGGAGAAACATGGGAATCATGGCGCAAAAGTCACCTCCTGTCACCTATCACCTGTCAGCTCCTCCTAGCTTGCCCGTGCTCGCTCTCTCCATCACGTTGTTCACCTCCGAGCGCAGCTGGGGAGAGAGGACAGATGACAGGACAGGAGGGCGTTATTCTTGAAGTAGAAAGGGAAAGCAGCGAGCTTACCAACCTCACTGACTGAGTGTGCCTCAAACTCAACGGAGCGTAACCGAGCTTCAACTTCACAGCTTAGTAAATTACCAGCCTGCAGTACCTACCTCAATAAGCGTGGCCCACGTCGCCAGCTCAACATCCCCGAACGACAGCCAATCAGCTTCCGGCTTGGGCCACGGCATTTGGAAGACGGAGGGAACGGGCCGGGGGAAGTTGCTGGGAAGGTTTCGCCAGGCGTCCTCAGCCATGTGGGGCAGCACGGGGGCGATGGCTGCTAGGAAGGCGGTGAGGTGGTGCGCTAGGACCGTTTGGCACGCCCGCCTGGTAAGGTAATCTTGACCTCTGGGGGAGGTGAGGAAAAGGGGAGAGCATGCGGGTGGTGGAGAGATGGAGAAAAGGGTGGAAAGCAGGTAGAGTGAGAAAGGTGGTGTGCTCGCACAGGTGGTTCTGCCAGGCGTCCTCAGCCATGTGGGGCAGCACGGGGGCAATGGCTGCCAGGAAGGCGGTCAGGTGGTGCGCTAGGACTGTATGGCACGCCCTCCTTGTCAGGTAGTCCTGACCTCTGGGGGGTGGCAAGGGACGAGAAAGGGAAAGAGGGACAAGCAGGTGAGAAGAGAGGGTGGAAGGGAGGTGAGCCATGTGGGGCAGCACGGGGGCGATGGCTGCCAGGAAGGGGGTGGAAGTGAGGTCAAGCACTGGTGTCAAGAGAGCAGCAGGCAGGGAGAAGAGAAGGAACCAATGGAGAACAAGGAGTCTCTTGTGAGAATTCTCCCAAGTGCATTATGGAGCATGAGGACCGTGCATTCTGCATGTTAGGTGGACCGTGGACTTACCATTGCAATAGGTTGACAACCGTGGACCGTGGAGTTACCATTGCAATAGGTTGACAACACCCAGCACCCACCCCCCACAACGCCCACCCCACACAGCACCCACCCCACACGGCGCCCACCCCAGGTGGCGCCCACCCCACATAGAGCCGGTCCTTGCAGACATCGAAGTAGAAGTTGGAGGGATCCACCACTGCACAGGAGGCTTAGGATTTGGCCCAGGTTTAGGGCAAGGCGCATTGAACAAGGGGACCCACAACACCCAGCACCCACCCCACACAGCACCCCAGGTGGCACCCACCCCACGTAGAGCCTGTCCTTGCAGACGTCAAAGTAGAAGTTGGACAGGTCCACCACTGCAAAGCGCTGTATCAGCTGCATAGAAGGTACAGGGGTGGTTTCGGGTGGAAAGAGAGGGCAGAGAAGGCAGAGAGAGAAGAGAGGGTAAGTTGGATGCTGGAAATCTTCAGCACTGCAAAGTGCTGGATAAGCTGCAGGGGACGGGACTGGGAAGGAGGGGAGAAGTTGGGGGATGGGGGGGTGGAGAGGTGAGGAGGCATGGTGGAAAGAAAAGGGGTAGGCGTGAAGGAGTGCAAGAAAGAGTGTGTGTGTGGGTTACTTATGTAGATAAATGAGGAAGGTACCTGGTAGAAGCGGTAGAACTGGAAGTCATCGTAGCTCTGCTGCACGTCCTGCATCACGTCTGCCAGGCGACGCAGCGCATAGCGGTCCAGAGCAGGCAGGCTGGCGTAGGGGACCGCCTCGGAGGGCTGATTGGGGGAAGGGGAAGGAAAGGCGGGGCAGGAAAGGATGGGGTATTGAGGAAGAGCATGAAAGAAGGGGCGGTAGAACTGCAAGTCATCGTAGCTCTGCTGCACGTCCTGCATCACGTCTGCCAGGCGACGCAGTGCATAGCGGTCCAGAGCAGGTAGGCTGGCATAGGGGACCGCCTTGGAAGGCTGATGGAGGGGATGGGGAGAGGCGTTTCGGAAGAGGAATGGGAGTAAGGAGCAGTAGTGGTGACGCGAATAAAACGTCCGGGCATACGTCAGCCAGGCGGCGCAGGGATTAGCGGTCCAGGCCAGGAAGTGTGGCCTTTAGGACTGATTTTTGAGTCGACTCAAAAATCGACTTACTACACCAGGCGGCGCAGGGATTAGCGGTCCAGGCCAGGAAGTGTGGCGTTTAGGACTGTCTCGGAGGCGGAAACTCTGGAAGAGAGAGGAATGGAACAAGGAAGACGACGTGGTGACGTGACTGGTGGGACAGAGGAGTTCATGAAGCAGTGCACCGCAAGTGCAACCAGTGCACCCAGTGCAACCAGTGCAACCAGTGCAACCAGTGCAACCAGTGCAACCAGTGCACCCAGTGCACCCAGTGCAACCAGTGCACCCAGTGCACCCAGTGCACTGACCTGGTAGTCGTGCAGGTTGCCGAGCAGGAACCTCAGAGTGCCTCTTAGCTTGCGGTACACATCGCTCATCTGCTTTACAATGGTCGGCCCGATCACCACGTCGCCACTGTAGTCCACCGATGACACCCACAGCCGCAACACGTCCGCCCCGTACGCTGGCTCGGTCTGCGGCATGGATATGCAGTGTGAACGCAGCGTGAGGCACAGGGATGGGTGTGATATGGGTGTAGCAAGGGAATGGACGACCTGGTCACCACGTCGCCACTGTAGTCCACCGATGCCACCCACAGCCGCAGCACGTCCGCCCCGTACGCTGGCTCGGTCTGCGGCATGGATATGCAGTGTGAACGCAGCGTGAGGCACAGGGATGGGTGTGATATGGGTGTAGCAAGGGAATGGACGACCCGGTCACCACGTCGCCACTGTAGTCCACCGATGCCACCCACAGCCGCAGCACGTCCGCCCCGTACGCTGGCTCGGTCTGGAAAGGAGAGAGCACAGTGGGAATGGGAAACAGTGAGAGCAGCATTGGACATGACGTGGTCGGCCCGATCACCACGTCGCCACTGTAGTCCACCGATGCCACCCACAGCCGCAACACGTCCGCCCCGTATGCTGGCTCGGTCTGGAAAGGGGGATGGGTGAGAACAGGTTGGGAATTGGAATGCGTATGGCGACTAATGAGGAGCGTGGGGCATGGTGCATAGTGGGAATAGGGTGGGGGGGCATGGCAGGCATGGATGGCCCGATCACCACATCGCCACTGTAGTCCACCGATGACACCCACAGCCTCAGCACGTCCGCCCCGTATGCTGGCTCGGTCTGTGAGGAGTATAAGACTGTCAAGAAGTGAGAGCAGTGTGGTGCATGAAATGGCATGACATGGGCTCACAGGGCCCGAAGCATGTTTCCACAGCAGCACACACTCAGGCACACGCACTCACCTTCTGGTTCTTCCCCCCGTCGATGACAGTCAAGGGGTCCACCACGTTCCCCACGGACTTGCTCATCTTCATGCCCCTCTCATCCAGCACAACCCCGTGCGTCAGCACCGCATGGTACCAGAGACACCCATCTTGTCACAGCAGCACACCAGGACACACACACCCTCACCTTCTGGTTCTTCCCTCCATTAATGACTGTAAGAGGGTCCACGACGTTCCCCACGGACTTGCTCATCTTCATGCCCCTCTCGTCCAGCACAAACCCGTGAGTCAGCACGGCACGGTACCAGAGACACACGCGCACACCCACAGACACACAGTCTGACGCTCACCTTCTGGTTCTTCCCTCCACTGATAACAGTCAAGGGATCCACCACATTCCCCACGGACTTGCTCATCTTCATGCCCCTCTCGTCCAGCACAAACCCGTGAGTCAGCACCGCCCGGTACGGCGCAGTGCCGGCTGTGGCCACGCCTGTGAGCAGCGAGCTCTGGAACCACCCGCGGTGCTGATCGCTGCCCTCCAAATACAGGTCTGCTGGGAAGTTGAGCCCTGCACTTCTGCTGCTGCTGCTAGTGTCCACTGCACTGGAAGCTGGGCTCCCGGTTTCTGTAGCAGGCGAGTTGCTGCTTGAAGCAGCTCCATTGGTATCAGAGCCAGAGGCAGAGGCGGAGGTGGAGGGCGAGGGAGAGGAGGCGAGGACGGAGGCCCAGGAGGAGCCGGAGTCGAACCAGACGTCCATGGTATCAGAGCCCTTGCGGTACTGCGAGGCCTGGTCACGCAGCGAGGGGGGCAGCAGGTCCGCCACCTCCATCTCCCACCACGCGTCACTGCCCTTCTCTGTGGCATCGGGGGGAGGAGATAAAGAGAGGAGGGGTTGTGTGAGTGAGGCACAAAGAGTGGCAGGCTGGTAGATAGAGCAAGGCCGAGGCAGCGAGGGGGGCAGCAGGTCTGCTACCTCCATCTCCCACCACGCGTCACTGCCCTTCTCTGTGGCACCGGGATAAGGGGGGGAGAAGGGGGATATGGGAGGGCGGTGGGGAGGTAACCTAATGAGGGGGCCAGCAGGTCTGCCTCAGCAATGGTCTCCTGAGTGAGCAACGGCCCGCCGGTCTCCACGTGGTACAAGGCCGGGATGGGCACAGCACACCCCATGCACGCTGCCGGGAGATGCACCTCAGGCTTTCTCACTCATGTGCACCCACCAACTCACCTGCTACTACAGTGGCCTGCGCTGCACAGCACATGACCTCACTCACCTGCCACTATGGCCTGCACATGAGCAATGGTCTCCTGGGTGAGAAGTGGCTCGCCCGTCTCAATGTGGTAGAAGGCCGGGATGGGCATACCCCATGCACCCCTGTCAATGCACCTCATTCTTTCTCCCTCATGTGCACTGTGCATCAACCAGCTCACCTGCCACAATCGCCTGCACGTGAGCGATGGTCTCCTGGGTAAGAAGTGGCTCGCCGGTCTCAACATGGTAGAAGGCCGGAATGGGCACACCCCAGGAACGCTGCCGTGAGATGCACCAGTCAGAGCGCCCCTCCACCATGGCTGTGATGCGCTTCTCACCCTGAGAAGTGGAGAGGGGTGGGGATGGGTTGGAATGGGATGGGTGGCATGGATGCAATGCAGTGGGGGATGGATGGGGTTGGGATGGGAGTGGGATGGGGGTGGGATGGGGGTGCATTTGAGTCGACTCAAGAGCGGGGTCGGGTTGCCAAGAAGTGAGACAAGTGGCTGCCTTTTGGGGGTGGAAGGAAGCGTGCTACTTGCCTGGGGGGGAAACCACTGCACTCCGCGGATAGCTTGCAGTGCCTCCTCCTTAAAGCCGTTGACAGAGGCGAACCACTGGTCTGTGGCTCGGAAGATTGTGGGCTGCTTGCTGCGCCAGTCGTACGGGTACTTGTGCTCTGCATGGGGAAAGGGGATAGGAGGACGGAACGAGAGGAGGATGGGAAGAGAAAACGTGTGTTTTCCCCACAGGCAAGTCACTTTCCCCAGAGGCGAACCGTGGCTCGGAGGATCGTGGGCTGCTTGCTGCGCCAGTCGTACGGGTACTTGTGCTCTGATTGGGGCAAGAGGAGGATGGGACGAGGGAACAAAGAGAGGAGACGAGGGTGGGAAGTGGGGACGTAAGCTCTGAAAACGCAAGAAAGAGTGTGCACACTCACTGCTCTCACTCACACCCACTGCTCTCACACTCACCACTTTCACACTCACTCAGCTCAGCACAGCACAGCACACCACAGGTAAATGCCACTCACCGTATGCCTCTTCCAGCAGCAGCGCTCCATTCCCATCCAACGCCACCAACACCGCTGCATTCCCTTCCGCCAGCGCGCTCAGCCCCTCAAACTCACTCGGCAAACACCCCCTCCCAACCCCCCAAGCACCCACTCACCATACGCCTCTTCCAGCAGCAGCGCTCCATTCCCATCACAACCACATACCCCTCGCCCAGCACGCTGACTTTTGAGTCGACTCAAAAGTCACCTCGCTCCATTCCCATCACAACCACATACCCCTCGCCCAGCACGCTGACTTTTGAGTCGACTCAAAAGTCACCTCGCTCCATTCCCATCACAACCACATACCCCTCGCCCAGCACGCTGACTTTTGAGTCGACTCAAAAGTCACCTCGCTCCATTCCCATCACAACCACATACCCCTCGCCCAGCACGCTGACTTTTGAGTCGACTCAAAAGTCACCTCGCTCCATTCCCATCACAACCACATACCCCTCGCCCAGCACGCTGACTTTTGAGTCGACTCAAAAGTCACCTCGCTCCATTCCCATCACAACCACATACCCCTCGCCCAGCACGCTGACTTTTGAGTCGACTCAAAAGTCACCTCGCTCCATTCCCATCACAACCACATACCCCTCGCCCAGCACGCTGACTTTTGAGTCGACTCAAAAGTCACCTCGCTCCATTCCCATCACAACCACATACCCCTCGCCCAGCACGCTGACTTTTGAGTCGACTCAAAAGTCACCTCGCTCCATTCCCATCACAACCACATACCCCTCGCCCAGCACGCTGACTTTTGAGTCGACTCAAAAGTCACCTCGCTCCATTCCCATCACAACCACATACCCCTCGCCCAGCACGCTGACTTTTGAGTCGACTCAAAAGTCACCTCGCTCCATTCCCATCACAACCACATACCCCTCGCCCAGCACGCTGACTTTTGAGTCGACTCAAAAGTCACCTCGCTCCATTCCCATCACAACCACATACCCCTCGCCCAGCACGCTGACTTTTGAGTCGACTCAAAAGTCACCTCGCTCCATTCCCATCACAACCACATACCCCTCGCCCAGCACGCTGACTTTTGAGTCGACTCAAAAGTCACCTCGCTCCATTCCCATCACAACCACATACCCCTCGCCCAGCACGCTGACTTTTGAGTCGACTCAAAAGTCACCTCGCTCCATTCCCATCACAACCACATACCCCTCGCCCAGCACGCTGACTTTTGAGTCGACTCAAAAGTCACCTCGCTCCATTCCCATCACAACCACATACCCCTCGCCCAGCACGCTGACTTTTGAGTCGACTCAAAAGTCACCTCGCTCCATTCCCATCACAACCACATACCCCTCGCCCAGCACGCTGACTTTTGAGTCGACTCAAAAGTCACCTCGCTCCATTCCCATCACAACCACATACCCCTCGCCCAGCACGCTGACTTTTGAGTCGACTCAAAAGTCACCTCGCTCCATTCCCATCACAACCACATACCCCTCGCCCAGCACGCTGACTTTTGAGTCGACTCAAAAGTCACCTCGCTCCATTCCCATCACAACCACATACCCCTCGCCCAGCACGCTGACTTTTGAGTCGACTCAAAAGTCACCTCGCTCCATTCCCATCACAACCACATACCCCTCGCCCAGCACGCTGACTTTTGAGTCGACTCAAAAGTCACCTCGCTCCATTCCCATCACAACCACATACCCCTCGCCCAGCACGCTGACTTTTGAGTCGACTCAAAAGTCACCTCGCTCCATTCCCATCACAACCACATACCCCTCGCCCAGCACGCTGACTTTTGAGTCGACTCAAAAGTCACCTCGCTCCTTTCCCATCACAACCACATACCCCTCGCCCAGCACGCTGACTTTTGAGTCGACTCAAAAGTCACCTCGCTCCATTCCCATCACAACCACATACCCCTCGCCCAGCACGCTGACTTTTGAGTCGACTCAAAAGTCACCTCGCTCCATTCCCATCACAACCACATACCCCTCGCCCAGCACGCTGACTTTTGAGTCGACTCAAAAGTCACCTCGCTCCATTCCCATCACAACCACATACCCCTCGCCCAGCACGCTGACTTTTGAGTCGACTCAAAAGTCACCTCGCTCCATTCCCATCACAACCACATACCCCTCGCCCAGCACGCTGACTTTTGAGTCGACTCAAAAGTCACCTCGCTCCATTCCCATCACAACCACATACCCCTCGCCCAGCACGCTGACTTTTGAGTCGACTCAAAAGTCACCTCGCTCCATTCCCATCACAACCACATACCCCTCGCCCAGCACGCTGACTTTTGAGTCGACTCAAAAGTCACCTCGCTCCATTCCCATCACAACCACATACCCCTCGCCCAGCACGCTGACTTTTGAGTCGACTCAAAAGTCACCTCGCTCCATTCCCATCACAACCACATACCCCTCGCCCAGCACGCTGACTTTTGAGTCGACTCAAAAGTCACCTCGCTCCATTCCCATCACAACCACATACCCCTCGCCCAGCACGCTGACTTTTGAGTCGACTCAAAAGTCACCTCGCTCCATTCCCATCACAACCACATACCCCTCGCCCAGCACGCTGACTTTTGAGTCGACTCAAAAGTCACCTCGCTCCATTCCCATCACAACCACATACCCCTCGCCTAGCACGCTGACTTTTGAGTCGACTCAAAAGTCACCTCGCTCCATTCCCATCACAACCACATACCCCTCGCCCAGCACGCTGACTTTTGAGTCGACTCAAAAGTCACCTCGCTCCATTCCCATCACAACCACATACCCCTCGCCCAGCACGCTGACTTTTGAGTCGACTCAAAAGTCACCTCGCTCCATTCCCATCACAACCACATACCCCTCGCCCAGCACGCTGACTTTTGAGTCGACTCAAAAGTCACCTCGCTCCATTCCCATCACAACCACATACCCCTCGCCCAGCACGCTGACTTTTGAGTCGACTCAAAAGTCACCTCGCTCCATTCCCATCACAACCACATACCCCTCGCCCAGCACGCTGACTTTTGAGTCGACTCAAAAGTCACCTCGCTCCATTCCCATCACAACCACATACCCCTCGCCCAGCACGCTGACTTTTGAGTCGACTCAAAAGTCACCTCGCTCCATTCCCATCACAACCACATACCCCTCGCCCAGCACGCTGACTTTTGAGTCGACTCAAAAGTCACCTCGCTCCATTCCCATCACAACCACATACCCCTCGCCCAGCACGCTGACTTTTGAGTCGACTCAAAAGTCACCTCGCTCCATTCCCATCACAACCACATACCCCTCGCCCAGCACGCTGACTTTTGAGTCGACTCAAAAGTCACCTCGCTCCATTCCCATCACAACCACATACCCCTCGCCCAGCACGCTGACTTTTGAGTCGACTCAAAAGTCACCTCGCTCCATTCCCATCACAACCACATACCCCTCGCCCAGCACGCTGACTTTTGAGTCGACTCAAAAGTCACCTCGCTCCATTCCCATTCCCATCACAACCACATACCCCTCGCCCAGCACGCTGACTTTTGAGTCGACTCAAAAGTCACCTCGCTCCATTCCCATCACAACCACATACCCCTCGCCCAGCACGCTGACTTTTGAGTCGACTCAAAAGTCACCTCGCTCCATTCCCATCACAACCACATACCCCTCGCCCAGCACGCTGACTTTTGAGTCGACTCAAAAGTCACCTCGCTCCATTCCCATCACAACCACATACCCCTCGCCCAGCACGCTGACTTTTGAGTCGACTCAAAAGTCACCTCGCTCCATTCCCATCACAACCACATACCCCTCGCCCAGCACGCTGACTTTTGAGTCGACTCAAAAGTCACCTCGCTCCATTCCCATCACAACCACATACCCCTCGCCCAGCACGCTGACTTTTGAGTCGACTCAAAAGTCACCTCGCTCCATTCCCATTCCCATCACAACCACATACCCCTCGCCCAGCACGCTGACTTTTGAGTCGACTCAAAAGTCACCTCGCTCCATTCCCATCACAACCACATACCCCTCGCCCAGCACGCTGACTTTTGAGTCGACTCAAAAGTCACCTCGCTCCATTCCCATCACAACCACATACCCCTCGCCCAGCACGCTGACTTTTGAGTCGACTCAAAAGTCACCTCGCTCCATTCCCATCACAACCACATACCCCTCGCCCAGCACGCTGACTTTTGAGTCGACTCAAAAGTCACCTCGCTCCATTCCCATCACAACCACATACCCCTCGCCCAGCACGCTGACTTTTGAGTCGACTCAAAAGTCACCTCGCTCCATTCCCATCACAACCACATACCCCTCGCCCAGCACGCTGACTTTTGAGTCGACTCAAAAGTCACCTCGCTCCATTCCCATCACAACCACATACCCCTCGCCCAGCACGCTGACTTTTGAGTCGACTCAAAAGTCACCTCGCTCCATTCCCATCACAACCACATACCCCTCGCCCAGCACGCTGACTTTTGAGTCGACTCAAAAGTCACCTCGCTCCATTCCCATCACAACCACATACCCCTCGCCCAGCACGCTGACTTTTGAGTCGACTCAAAAGTCACCTCGCTCCATTCCCATCACAACCACATACCCCTCGCCCAGCACGCTGACTTTTGAGTCGACTCAAAAGTCACCTCGCTCCATTCCCATCACAACCACATACCCCTCGCCCAGCACGCTGACTTTTGAGTCGACTCAAAAGTCACCTCGCTCCATTCCCATCACAACCACATACCCCTCGCCCAGCACGCTGACTTTTGAGTCGACTCAAAAGTCACCTCGCTCCATTCCCATCACAACCACATACCCCTCGCCCAGCACGCTGACTTTTGAGTCGACTCAAAAGTCACCTCGCTCCATTCCCATCACAACCACATACCCCTCGCCCAGCACGCTGACTTTTGAGTCGACTCAAAAGTCACCTCGCTCCATTCCCATCACAACCACATACCCCTCGCCCAGCACGCTGACTTTTGAGTCGACTCAAAAGTCACCTCGCTCCATTCCCATTCCCATCACAACCACATACCCCTCGCCCAGCACGCTGACTTTTGAGTCGACTCAAAAGTCACCTCGCTCCATTCCCATCACAACCACATACCCCTCGCCCAGCACGCTGACTTTTGAGTCGACTCAAAAGTCACCTCGCTCCATTCCCATCACAACCACATACCCCTCGCCCAGCACGCTGACTTTTGAGTCGACTCAAAAGTCACCTCGCTCCATTCCCATCACAACCACATACCCCTCGCCCAGCACGCTGACTTTTGAGTCGACTCAAAAGTCACCTCGCTCCATTCCCATCACAACCACATACCCCTCGCCCAGCACGCTGACTTTTGAGTCGACTCAAAAGTCACCTCGCTCCATTCCCATCACAACCACATACCCCTCGCCCAGCACGCTGACTTTTGAGTCGACTCAAAAGTCACCTCGCTCCATTCCCATCACAACCACATACCCCTCGCCCAGCACGCTGACTTTTGAGTCGACTCAAAAGTCACCTCGCTCCATTCCCATCACAACCACATACCCCTCGCCCAGCACGCTGACTTTTGAGTCGACTCAAAAGTCACCTCGCTCCATTCCCATCACAACCACATACCCCTCGCCCAGCACGCTGACTTTTGAGTCGACTCAAAAGTCACCTCGCTCCATTCCCATCACAACCACATACCCCTCGCCCAGCACGCTGACTTTTGAGTCGACTCAAAAGTCACCTCGCTCCATTCCCATCACAACCACATACCCCTCGCCCAGCACGCTGACTTTTGAGTCGACTCAAAAGTCACCTCGCTCCATTCCCATCACAACCACATACCCCTCGCCCAGCACGCTGACTTTTGAGTCGACTCAAAAGTCACCTCGCTCCATTCCCATCACAACCACATACCCCTCGCCCAGCACGCTGACTTTTGAGTCGACTCAAAAGTCACCTCGCTCCATTCCCATCACAACCACATACCCCTCGCCCAGCACGCTGACTTTTGAGTCGACTCAGAAGTCACCTCGCTCCATTCCCATCACAACCACATACCCCTCGCCCAGCATGCTCGCCACTCCCTCACACCCACTCAGCACAACTCTCCCTGCCACCCCTAGAAAACACTCACTCTCACTAAGTACAGCACACCACTCCCAACCCCCCCATCCCATTCAGTGCCGTCATCACTGCCGCATTCCCCTCGCCCAGGACGCTCAGACCCTCAAACTCCCCGCCCTTGGCCTCCGCAGTAAACCTCCCCTCATCATCCACAGGGGAGATTAACTCCAGACCGTACTTAAGACCCGTCGCATAGTCCTCCTGTCCGTGCCCTGGCGCCGTGTGGACCAATCCCGTGCCGGACTCCGTGGTGATGTATTCCCCGCCCACCACTACGGGACAAATCCTGCCGTCCAGCGGGTGCTGGTAGGTGGAGCCCTCGAGGTGGGACCCGGGGAAAGTGGCGACTGGGGTGAGGGAGCAGCGCCACGTGGCCTGCAGGGATTGGATGAGGTCAGTTGCCACGATGACGTGGCGCGTGGTGGGAGGGGCGGCGGCTGTGTCAGTTGCAGCAGAGGAGAGGGAAGAGAGAAGCGAGCCGGTGTTCCTCTTGCCCTTGCCAAAGGTCGGAGCAGGAGCAGCAGCAGCAGCAGCATCATCAGCAGCAGCGGAACCAGCACCAGCAGCAGCGGCATCAGAAGCATCAGCAGCAGCGACAGGGGGACCAATTTCGACAAGGGAGTAGGAGATTCTCTCGTTGACAGCAACAGCGGCGTTGCCAGGGATGGTCCAGGGCGTGGTGGTCCAGATGGCCAGGGCCAGCGATGGGAGGAGGGGGGCGAGGGAGGCGGGCAAGGAGGAGGCGAGGGAGCGCATAGGGAAGGTGGTGTAGATGCTTCGAGAAACGTGCACGTCTGGGTTTCTGTTTCAGTACATGGGGGAAGGGGGAAAAGGGTGAAGGGAGTGAGAGAAATCAGGTTGGGAAATGAGGGGAACATGATACAAGAACTTTGTTCACCTAGACTCTGGCTAGGAGTTCCCTGCCACGGTACACATGGCCGTGGAGCACCATGCGGACAAACACTCCCACAACAAAGATGGGATTAACACACGCTTCTAGTACCAACCACTCCCATTCCCGTCCCTTTTCAAGCTCAACCTCCCTCCATACCTCGAGCTCTGCCTCGGCGAGGGCGGTGCGGGAGGAAGGACTCCAGTGCACAGGTTTCCTGGCCCGGTAGATATGACCATTCAGCACCATGCCGGCAAACACGCCCAGCCTTACACTCCCACTAGCACTGCCGGTTGCATACCTCAAGCTCAGCCTCAGCAAGAGCAGTCCTGGACGAGGGGCTCCAATGAACTGGCTTCCTGCCGCGGTAGATATGACCATTCAGCACCATGCGGGTGAACACACCCAGCTGAGCGGCCTCATAGGCGGGACGCAGAGTGAGGTAGGGGTGTTCCCAGTCTGCCCACACGCCGTAGCGCCGGAAGGCCTGCCGCTGCTTGTCGACTGTTTTTAAGGCGAACTGTGCTGCCTTCTTGCGCAGCTTGATGGGGGTTAATCCCTGCCTCGCCTTGCTGTCCATTGATTGGAGCACTGGGTGGGAAGGGAAGGGGCATCGGAGAGGTGGCATGCTGCACGAGGGGCATCGGAGAGGTGGCATGCTGCACGAGGGGCATCGGAGAGGTGGCATGCTGCACGAGGGGCATCGGAGAGGTGGCATGCTGCACGAGGGGCATCGGAGAGGTGGCATGCTGCACGAGGGGCATCGGAGAGGTGGCATGCTGCACGAGCACAAGGCCGGAAAGGGGCACGAGGAAGGCCATGGTGGCTCCTTTTCGTACTTGGCTTCACTAACCCACAACCCCGAACTTCCCCAACCCTCCCTCCTCCCCACGTGCAAGCAGTGCTGTTGTGGGTGCAGGCAGGGCGGCGCACCTTTGAGGTTAAGGGTGAGAATGCGGGTGAGGGTGAGCAGGTCGACATACCTTCCAACCAACCTCCCCCACCCTCCAACCCCCCTTCCCTGCAACCATGTGGGTGCAGGCAGGGCGGCGCACCTTTGAGGTTAAGGGTGAGAATGCGGGTGAGGGTGAGCAGGTCGACATACCTTCCAACCAACCTCCCCCACCCCTCCCTCCTCTCCCCTGCAACCAGTGCCGTGGGTGCAGGCAGGGCAGCGTACCTTTGAGCTCGATGGGCAGCCCGTGGCAGTCCCACCCCGGCACGAACCTCACCTTGCGCCCCCGCAGCATCTGGGGGAGCGGGAGCAGGGGGGGGGATGGAGGAGGCGGCGGAGGAGGATGAGAGGCGAGGTGACAGGCGTGATGGTGGAAAGCAGGGAGGGAAAGGAGGGAATGGAAAGAAGAGCACGGCATGACAAGATGGGAAAGGAAAAGCGTGCCTAGGGGACAGGTTGAGATGGGAGTTGAGCAGCAGAAAGCAATAGCAGGTGACAGAACGGAAGGGAGGTGGGGTAAGGGACGATAAGGACCCAGTCAGGTGTAAGGGGGGGGAGGAGTCACGTTTTGCCACATTGTCGCTCTAGGAGTCATAAGCCACTTAAACCAAGCGCACCTGGTAACGGTTGATGAAGTCTTTGAGTATCTTGTTCAGCGCATGGCCGATGTTTGAGGCGTGTCAAGAAGTGTGAGTGAGCATGGCCTCTGAGTGTGAGCACACACACACACGCACACGCACCTGGTAGCGGTTGATGAAGTCCTTGAGTATCTTGTTCAGCGCATGGCCGATGTGCAGATCGCCATTGGCGTATGGCGGGCCGTCATGCAGCGTGAATGGCTCCTGATGTGCATGGGGGCGACAGAAAGAAGAGGAGAAGAGGGCGGAGAGAGAAGAGGAAGGGGGGGAATGGGGGGAAATGGGGAAGTGGGACGGGTGGTGCAGGGGAGGGAAGGGAGGGGGAAGATGAGGCATTGAGCAGCGGTGAGCCCGCAGTTGTCACTTGCCCGCACCCATGGCCACACCACACACACACACACACACACACACACACACACACACACACACACACACACACACCTGAGTGCCCCTCCCGCAACGCTCCCACCGCAACACGTGTGCCTCCCTCCCACGCGGCCATGAGCTCGCCCCCGTGCCAAAACCAACTCACCCCTGGTCCCTGGGGTCCGTTTGTGAGACATCTGAGAAGCAGCTCCACTCCCTCACCCCTGGATCACTTTCCAGCAGCTTTGCCGCGACGTCCGGTAACCCCCACAGCCTCTGAATCTCCGGCTCCCTCACACGCGTTCGCGCGCATGCCCAACCTACCCCACCCCACCCCCCACGTATGCGGCTCACACGAAGAGAGGCGCACCAAGGAGGAGTTCCCCCAACCCCAACTCACCCCCCGATTAGCAGCTTCCCGGCAACGTCCAGCTCCCCCCACAGCTGCTGAATCTCTGGCTCCCTCACACTCGCGTTGGCGCGCATGCCCACCCCACCCCACCCCACCCCACCCTACCCCACCCCACCCTACCCCACCCCACCCCACCCCACCCCACCCCACCCTACGCATCCGGCTCACACAAGGAGAGGCGCACCAAAGAGAATTGTCCAACTCACCCCCGGGTTCGTTTCCAGCAGCTTCCCCGCAACGTCCAACTCCCCCCACAGCGTCTGGATCTCCGGCTCCCTCACACTCGCGTTGGCGCGCATGCCAAAGCTGGTCTGCGGAAGGCACACCGTGCCCTTGTACTTGCCCCCCTCCTGCTCCGCGCCCCCCTCCTCCGCGCCCTTCTTCTTCCCCCGCGCCTCCACCGCCAGCCTCCGCGCGCGCCCCGCGGTAGCGCCCGCGGAGAGTGTGGGGAAGTTGACTCTAGCGCCGCCGAGACTGCGCGGGAATCCCAAGGTGGGGGGAAGAAACGCGGAGCGCAGGCTGTGCGCGGAGGAGCGTGTGGTTTTCCGCGCGGAGGGGGAAGGGGCGGCGGAGAGCGAGGGGGAAAGGCGCGGGGCGGCGGAAAGCGCGCTTGGCGCGCAGCAGATGCAGCGCATTCTGCCGCAGAGGGTGGACAGCGCGGGGGAACGCGCGGCGGACGAGAGGAGATGAGTGCCGGATGACTGCTAAGGGGAGGGGGCGAAGGGAGAGGGGGAAGGGGGGTGGGGGAAGACGGGGGAGAGAACCGGAAGGAATGGGGGAAAGGCGGATGATCCGAGAAGCGAAACGGGCAGGGGGGAGACGGCGACCAGAAAACTGGATGTCACAAGGCCAATTGGAACGGAGACGGAGACGAGAATAAAACGAACGGACGACCAGGAAACACACGAATGTGCCTCAGGACGCGTCTCCGAATGCGGCTCAAAATGCGGCTCGGAATGCGGCTCGGAAGGCGGCTTGTGAGTTCAAGCGGAGCCTCACCATGTCGGCCGACCGCTCAAACGAGAGAGAGGGCGTGAGCGAATAGGATCCGGCACCGAAAATAATCCTGCACGGCCGCACGGAGTACTATTGCAGCGATGCTGCGTGATCCGCGCTCGCTTCGCTTCTCAACGCGCCGCGCCTTAGTAAACAATCGGCCGCTGGATCAGCGTCGACACGTGTCAAACGCGTTCTTTAAAGCGAATGCTCGCACCGGACCCACCACCCCGCGCCCTAATCCGCCTGAACGAAGGGCCTCGAATGGTCACCCCGTGACACGCGTCCACCAGAGTAAAGGGTCTAGAGCCTAGACCCGTGACGTGATGCCTCGAACGAACTCGTGGGGGTTGAGGTGAGGAAGAAGGGCGCGGGAGAAATTGGGGGGACGAGCTGCAATTGTGGGTGTGTCCGCTCCACGTCAGCACGCAGATGACGTGCGGTTTTGCGCGCCACAATTCGTGGATGGAGGGGTTACTCGATTTATGATACGAGGAGTTCTGTAAAATATTGTTTCCCTATACACGGTACAGCAAAACTACACTTCGATCACGTTCTTTCCAAGGTGTACATAAGTCCTGTATCTCGGAATCTGGGACCTGCATGTCACAGATTCCATCCTCCATCCTCCGTCTTATTTACTGCAATTATCCCATCAACGTTGCAAAAGGTTTTTATGGCTGGCAGTTGAGCAATCCGTCTTTATAGACGCGCTTTTCGTGGCGCCATTGCGTCATTTCCCGTTGTCCTCCTAACGGTCACCTCTACCGCCATGGCGTCAGGGCACTCCGCTGTCGCGCAAACCCTGCACCCTCCAAACCCCGAAGCTCCAAACCCCAAAGCTCCTGACACTCCTCCGCTCGATTTTCAGGGTGTGACTGCGGCGATCGCGGCGCTGGCGGGCGCCGTGCACGCGCTGCCCGCGGAGGACGATTTCCACTTCTACTGCAACTTCGCCGCCTTCCGCGCGCGCGTCTCCGCGCTCCGCCAGCGCGTGCGCGCCCTGCTCTCCCGCCTCGGCCCGCCTGCGCCACCCGCCGCGTTGGATTCCGCCGCAGGTGACCACGATGACGATGATGCTGACGTGGACGACGCTTATGATTGGCTAGTCGAGGTGCTGGATAACCGGCTGGAGAAGGTCGACGTGGCACTTGACGAGATGCGGAAAAGGCGGAAGAAGGCGCAACCGGATTGGCAGGGGCTGGAGGAGGAGGAGGCGGAACAGCGGCGGGAAGCGCTTTTGCGCGAAGCGGGGGCGTTCGGCTCCGGTCTCGCGGACGCCGTCTTTTCCGCGCCCAAGGCGGGCGGAAAACCGCAAGCAGGCGGAAGCATGCCGGCGGCGGAAATTGCCACGTCAGCTAGCAGCTGGCGGCGGAGCCTGCGCGGGAAGAACCGGCCGCAGGACGCGTTCGAGCCGCCTGTTGACAACTCCGACGTGCCGCTCTCGTTGCCGCGCCTCGAGTTCATTGAGGCGATCCGGCGCGAGGCGGAAGCGGAAAGCGCAGGGAAGGAGAGCGCGGAAGAGGAGGGGAGCGGGAGCGGGCGGGCAGCGGGGGAGTTGGAAGAAGGGGAGGAGGTGGCGGAAGGAGAGGGGGGGGAAGAGGGTGCGGAGGCGGAGAAGGTGCGCGGAAGGGGGGAGGGAAGAGGCAGGGGCCCTCCGCGGCTGAAGTGGAGAGCGCTGAAGGAGCGCCATCCGTTGTGGGTGAGAATCTTACCGGGTACAGGGTTCGGAGTTTCGGGTTTGGGGGTTCAGGGTTTCGTGTTCCGGGTTCAGGGTTCGGGGTTCAGAGTTTGGGGTTCAGGGTTTGGGGTTCGGGTTTCGGGTTCTGGGTGTAGGGTTCGGTGAAAGCTTACAACTGCCTTGTGTAATGCTTTTTCTTGCGTTACATTGTCACCCCAACATTCTTAGCTCAGCTTCTTGTGGTTCGTCCCACTTAGGGCGTATCTTTGGTTCGGGTCATGCACTGTTTGGGTCATCCGAGATTCTTGGAACACCATGACCCAAAGTCGAAAAGTCGCATTTCTGACAGAAAAGTCGAATACCATTGGTCCTCCCATGACCCAAAGTGTACTGATGACCCAAAGTGGCCTTATGACCCGAACCAAAGATACGCCCTTACCCGCCCTTCTCTCTTCCACCCCTAGCCCTCCCCTCTCCTTGTTCTAATCCGTCCCTCCAAACCCCCTCAACCCCACCCACCCCCCCTCTGTTTCTTGCGCGCGCCGCCCTTCCCAGCACCGGCTTCGCCACATCACCTACCAGCCCTGGCAGCTCTGCCCTCCGAACCTGCCTTCCCGAGCCACCACAACCGAACCAACCCCAGGCTCGGCACCACCACCACCCACGGAACCACACCACCTACTGCCCCCCCCACCTCCCTTAGAAGACACACCCTTGGCGTACGTAGAAACGCGCGAGCAGCTAGCGGCCATGGCGGAGGAGATTAAAGCCGAGAGGGAGGTGGCGGTGGACCTCGAGAATCACAACTACCGCTCGTTCCAGGGCTTCCTGTGCGTGCTGCAGCTGTCCACACGGCGCAAGGACTATGTGGTGGACGCGATTGCATTGCGCGGGGAGATCGGGCCCATATTGGGGCCCATGTTCGCTGATCCTCGCATTGTCAAGGTGAGACCGCGAGAATCACAGCTACTGGGTCAGGTCGTTCCAGGGCTTCCTGTGCGTGCTGCAGCTGTCCACGCGGAGCAAGGACGTGGACGCCATTGCGTTGCGGGGAGAGATTGGGCCTTTGTTGGGACCCATGTTCGCTGATTCGCGCATTGTGAAGGTGAGTGAGACCTGGAGAGCCACAACTAGCAAGAATTACAGCACCCAGGTCAGGGCCTTCCAGGGCCTCCTGTGCGTGCTGCAGCTGTCGACGAGGCGGAAAGACTATGTGGTGGACGCTATCGCGCTGAGAGGGGAGATTGGGCCCATACTGGGACCGCCGGCACACGTGTTGTGAAGGTGATGATGTGAGGGGCGTGCATGAGAACTTCGTAGGTTCACTCCTGAGGGGTTTTGCAGATAGGTTTTGGCAGATCTGTTGGCAGATGGGGTTTCGGCAGAAGGGGGCTGTGCTGCTGGTGGTGAGGTGATGCCGGAGGATGGGTGCTGATACGCCGCTTCTCCCTGGCGCACCTGCTGCAGCGCTACTGCGGTGTGGCGGCCAACAAGAGCCGGCCCACACCCCCCCCCCCTTTTACGCAGCTTTTCCACCCGCTTCTCCCTGGCGCACCTGCTGCAGCGCATCTCTTTGACACGGGGCAGGCCTCAAGAGTCCTGGGCTAGAGCGCTTCTCCCTGGCGCACCTGCTGCAGCGCTACTGTGCTGTGACGGCCAACAAGAGGCTGCAGATGGCGGACTGGCGGAGCCTGCCCTTCCCCACCTTCCCCTGCTTTCCCTCCTCCCTCTCCCCCCCACCACCACTCCCCTCGCCCACCCATCTTTCAGGTGATGCACGGAGCAGACAGCGATGTAGTGTGGTTGCAGCGTGATTTTGGTATCTTCGTCGCGAATATGTTTGACACGGGGCAGGCCTGAAGAGTCCTGGGCTTGGAGCGCTTCTCCCTGGCGCACCTGCTGCAGCGCCACTGCGGTGTGGCGGCCAACAAGAGCCTTCAGATGGCGGACTGGCGCGTGCGGCCGCTGCCTGCTGTTCCTTCATTCCCCTTCCCCCCCAACCGCTCCCCCTTCCAGGTGATGCATGGAGCAGACAGCGACGTGGTGTGGCTGCAGAGGGACTTTGGCATCTTCATCGCCAATCTCTTCGACACGGGACAGGCCGCACGGGTTTTGAGTTTAGAGAGGTTCTCCCTGGCGCACCTGCTGCAGCGCCACTGTGGTGTCACGGCCAACAAGAGCCTTCAGATGGCGGACTGGCGCGTGCGGCCGCTGCCTGCTGATATGCTCAAGTATGCACGGGAGGACACGCATTACCTGCTCTTCCTGCACGACTGCCTGCGCCTCCAGCTCGCTGCTTCTGCTGGTGGTGCTGGTGCTGGTGCTTCTGCTGCTGGTGCTGGTGGTGCTGGAGGGAAGGTTAGTGGTGGGGCTGTGGTGGAGGGCGGTGAGGGGAAGGAGGAGGGAGAGGAGGAGGAGGAGGAGGAGGAGGAGGAAGGGGAGGTGCATGATGAGGAGGAGGAAGAGGAAGGAGAGGAGGAGGGGGAGGAGGGAGAGGGAGGGAAGCAGCAGGGGTATGGCGAGCCGTGCCCTGCTATCCTAGAGGCAAGTGTTTGAGGCTCTTTTGCTTTTGCTCTTTTTCTTTTTTTTGCTGCTCGTTTAGTCCCTCCCTTAGCTTGTCGGAAAGTGACAAGCCATCACTCCCACACCCAGGCCCTGACAGCTCTTCTCGCCCCTCGCCCCTTGCCCCCCCTCGCCCCTTGCCCCCACTCGCCCCTTGCTCCCCCTCGCCCCTTGCCCCCACTCGCCCCTTGCTCCCCCTCGCCCCTTGCCCCCACTCGCCCCTTGCTCCCCTCTCCCCTTGCTCCCCCCTCGCTCCCCATTGCCGTCCTTCGTCCTTTGGCCCCTCGCCCCCTACAGGTGTTGAAGCGCAGTGGGGACGTGTGTCTGCTGCTCTACTCCAAGCCACAGCGCGCCACACAGGCCCTGACAGCTTTCTCACCATACTCTCCCCACTCGCCCCCCCATTCCCCCTCCTTCTCCCCTCGCCCCTTCCCTTTTTGTCCCCTGCAGGTGCTCACTCGCAGTCGGGACGTGTGTCTGCTGCTCTACTCCAAGCCACAGCGCGCCTTCCACTCCTTCCTGCGCAACAATAGGTGTGTATGGCACTCCTTCCACTCCACTCAGTGCCATACACTGAGATTGTATGCTCCTTAGGCCTTTTTGCATGTTTCCTGTTCTCTGCTTTCCATTCCATCTTACTATGTTTATTACCCATGTCTGACTACCCGTCTCGCGTAACTTGCAGGCTGAGCACAGAGGGATTCAGCGAGGAGCAAATGGCCGTTCTCTCTGTAAGCCATGCGTACCTCCTTCTCCTTGTGTGCTTTTTTTTCTTTCTTTCTTTCTTGTTATTTCCGCGAGCAATCGATCAGTTCAGTTGCCAAAAACAAATAACAAGATCCTCAGGGGGTTTTCCAAATCCCCCTTCCCGCCCTCTCCCTCCCGCTTCCACCCTCCTAACCACTTACCCAGTAGCCGTCATTCCCCATGTTTCTCATGGCCACGGTGCCTTGCATGTGATTTCCATGCTCTTCCATGCAACGCTGTGCAAACTCGACATTCTTTCCTCTATCCCATCCATGCCACGTCATCACCATCAGGCGCTGTACACGTGGCGCGATCAGACAGGCAGGGACTGCGATGAAGGGCTGGGATACGTCATGCCCAACCACCTGCTGCTCAAAGTCGGTGCGTTGCCCTTTCCATGACAGCCCCCGTGATTGATTGTCCCGCACAAATCACATCCCAGTGATCTGCATGTCACTAACTAGGAAAGGCTGTAGCATAAGATGGTAGCAACTAGGCAGGGAGTGCGATGAAGGGCTGGGATACGTCATGCCCAACCACCTGCTGCTCAAAGTCGGTGCGTTGCGCCCCGCGTGATTACCTCGCTTGATTCACATCCCAAGATCATCACTCAGTAGGAAGAACTGCAACATAAGATGGTAGCGAACTAGGCGTGCAAATGTGGAGCTGGTGTGCGCATGTGTTTAGGAATCTGCTTGCAAGTTGGGAGGGATTCTCTTAGTAACTGCTGCTTATGAGTGATTCTCTTGAAAGCTGTTGTGTTTTGCCTTTGTTGCTGCTTCGTCTTTCCATGCCGCTGTGTTTGAAATCCGTTTTGCTTTACTTTCCTGCCCTCACTTCATTCCCATCCAGCACGCGACATGCCCACCTCGGAACGTGCTCTCCGAACCTGCCTCCGAGGTTCGGCGCCCCTTGTGGCTCGGAACGCTGCCACCATCACCCGAATGATCAGCCAGATGAAAGATTCTGCTGACCTGGCAACGTCCACTCTAGAGTCGCCAGCTGTCGTCGCGGCACGGCATGCTGCCACGTCAGCCAAAGACCCATTTGCTCCCGGCACTCCTGCTGCTGCAGCTGCCGCTGCTGCGGTTGCTGCTGCTGCTGCCCGCGCTGCTGCTGCTGCTGCTGCTGGTGTGGCTGTCCCTTCCTCAACTGCCATAACTGCATCTACATCGGCTGTAGCACCGGCTGTAGCAGTAGCTGTAGCAAAGGTGAAGGTGAAGAAGGCAGCAGCCAAGTCTGGGTTTGGGGCTCTTCTGGGGCAAAAGCGACCTGCTAAAGCTGGAGGAGCAGCTGTAGCAGGGACGGCAGGAGCAGTAGTAAAGCCCTTAGCAAAGGTACAGAAGACGGATGGAGTTGCTGCGAGAGATGATCTGGCAGCACGAGTCCGGGCGGCAATGGGGATTGTGCCGCAGCAGCCAATGGGATCGAAGGAAACTTCTTCACGGGCAGCCGAAAGGTTTGGAACTGCGGAAGATAAGGGGGCAGCGGCAACTGAAGCAAGGGAAGAGGGTGGAGAAGGGGGGAATGGGGGAGAAACAGAGGAAGAGGGGGCGAAAGCAGGGGGAGCAGGGGGGGTTGGGGGAGCTGGGACGGTAGGGGGAGCAAGGGGCGGGCAGCAGAAGCGGCAGCGACCGGCCAAGTCTCCGGCTCATGTGGCTGCTGCAGTGGCAGCGGCAGCAGCAGCAGCGCGGGCAGCAAGGAAAGCTGGAAGCCAGGCAGAGGGCGAAGGGGGTGGAAACGGTGTGGGAACGAGTGGTGGAGTTGAGGCAGGGGGGGATCTGCCGGCTCCTCTGAGTGCTGCCTTTGATGCGGAGGAGGGCAGGCGGGCACAGAGGAAGAAGAGACGCATGCTCAAAGCTGCCGCTGCTGCCGCCGCCGCTGCTGCTGCTGCTGGTGCTGCTGCTGGCACTAGTGATGCTGCTGCTGCTGGCACTGGGGCAAGCGATGGTGACGGTGCTGGTGATGGTGCTGGGTCTGGTTCTGGTGCCGGTGATGCAGCTGATGCTGATGCTGCAGCTGCAGAAGGGGGGGGCGTTGGTGTTGAGGGCAAGGCACTGGCAGAGTCGCAGTCACAGCAGCCGGCTAAGAAGGGTGCTGCTGGTGGGGGGCAGCGCAAGGACTTGGTAGCAGAGGCGTTTCAGAGAGCAGCGGAAGGGGAGGAGAGGCGCAAGAAGAGAAAGAAAAAGAGTGGGACGGGAGGAGGGTTGTGGGGCTCGGATTCAGAGGAGGGAGAGGAGGAGGAGGGGCTTCGCATGGTGCATGATAGTGAGGATGATGATGACGATGATTCTGATGGTGGTGGTGTTTTTGGTGGTAACGATAGCGATCATGATGAGGATGGTGTGGCGAAGGGGAAAAGGAAGCTCCCTGGTCGGCAGAAGGAGGATCAGGAAGAATTCGCACGGCTTGAGATTTATGATTTCTCGGCGGAGAAGGAGGAGTTTGGGCTGGATGCGCAGCATGTGGCGGCCAGTGAGGCCATGGCTCTGGGTCCTTCGGCAGACAAGAAGAAGTGGAACAAGCGCGGGGCTCCCAAGTTCTCTGTGCCGCTGCCTGCGGCTGCTGCTGCCGCCGCTGCTGATGCTGCTGCTAATGCTGGAAGGCAGGGTGGTGGGGGTGAGGGAGGGTCGGGGGGTAAGAATGCTGTGTTTGATCCGTTGCAACCGATTGCGGCAGGAGCGGCCAAGAGGGGCTTGGCTTATGATGCGCCGAGGGGTGGTAAGAGGGCGCAAGTGTTTCCTACTTCTGGAAACAGGAGTGCCACGTTTATGGATTAATCAATGCAGGTTGGTGCTGGTGCTTTTCGTTTCATTGTTGATTTTGTTAGTTGAACTACAGATGCAGGGCTAAGTTGAATGGGTTGAAATTCTTGGGGTAGAAAAGGATAGTGTACCGTGTGACTCGTTTTGAATACCTGATGCATAAGCTGTCTGGACTGGTGATGGTTTTGCGAGGGTGTATTGACTAGAACATTGACGAGAATCCTGGCTGTCATTGACGATATTATTGTGACGAGAGTTACCCAATCAGATTTCTGGCGCTGCGTTGACTCTGAGCTGTACGACCGACTGTGTCGTGATGGTGGGCAGCAATTGGTCTGCAAGCGAACATCCACGGTCTTGAAAAGAGGGTTACCCATTTATTCGTCAAGATCGCGACCCTACCATTCCACAGAACTTGGGAGGCAGGCTGTACAGCACACTGCCCTTGCGCAGGAGAGTCACCACCACAATGCCCCCCCTATCTGCGCTTCCTCCAACCCGAAATATCCGCAAAATCTGGTGCTGTTTTCCTGATGGGGGGGTTGCAGGGCAGGGAAAGGGACCCGCCAGGCAGCCACAGATTGCAGGCCTGGCCAGCATTTCACGCTTAGGGGGGAAAACGGGGCTGATTATCTTCACCCCCCTGCACGGGCGGAAGGTGGTGGTGGTTGAGGGTAGGAGTGATGAAAAATGGTCGCGATGAAAAATGGTCACTACACTGATCCCGTCTTGTTTACGTAAGTAGCAGGTACTTGGTATGGCAGCTCGCAGAGCAAGATTGATTTCCCGTTTTTTTTCCATATCACCAGTCGTGATTAAATAAAACGGGCAAGATCATGGTAAATGAAAGCTGACCTGGAAACCTCAGGGCTTCTAAAAACAGGAAACTTGCAGTGCAGCCCATCCGACACTCACCGTTGGATGGGTGGGTGAAAGGCTAGACGCTGGAAGAAGTCTCGAGATTGCCGTGACCAGCAGCGAAACAGAAAAGATGAAAACATGGAGGCACCATGCCATGGACATGAGATGAGAGCACCTGTACAGTAATCTCGCAAATGTTCCAGCCAAAGATTCTTGCCAGTTCCAGATGACTCCTTGAAAAAGCAGGTGACAGGCATTACATGTAGCTCATGGGTGAGAGGTTCTCTTTATGTCTGCCTGCTCTTGGCTTTGCGTGAAAAAGCGACATGGATCCGACATTTTGCCGCAACACCTGGATGGCTCTCAATGTAGCGTCGCACGAAGAAACGTAGGCATCGCGATTCGCGAATGGGCATTTTGCTTAGCAAGGAGCAGCAGCTGACGACAGTGTCGCTTTTTTCCTACACGGCGCGGATTGGTGGATTAAACTTGTCGACGCGTAATATGAAGCCAGCTTCAATGTCGCATTTGGCTTGTCGTTTTCAATCAGAGCGTTGCCTTTCGCCATGATTCTGGGGTTGTGAAGGCTTACAGCGCGTCGCGTCTAGGGTTTTTTTTATTCTGTTCCAGTGTTTTCTAGACCTCGTTACGGTACTGTACCTGCTCAGAAGTCATGACCACGCTTCTCACGACACTAAATAGTCCTGTAATCCGTAGCACCCTCGGCTCGAACCAATCCAGGCTGTACTAGTTGCAGAAGGAAATAAGTTCGTTGTAGTCCATTGCCGCTTTTCCTGTACAAACAGATTCGATTTAATTTATAATGGATTCCGACGCCATGGACGTAGACATGGATGATAGCGGTTCCCCACGCGCCGGCACCGTAAATACGTCTTTAGGAGCCGGCGACACGACTCCACCAGCAGCTAGAAGCCCGTCTTTTGTAGCCGAGATTTCTCCACTGGATCCCACCCCTCTTTCGCCGACCCAACCCACCCATCTTCCACCTACGCAATCTGCGCAATCGGCCCAACCCACCCTAGCCACCCCTCCGTTCGCCATTCCAACCCATCCATCCCCCTCGATACAGCCACCGACCGAACCATCGCCCCCTGAACCGTCTGCTACAGTACCATCCGCTACAGTCACCTCGGCAAATGCACCAAGTGCGGCATTGCGCTCACCCTCCATACCCTCCCCATCAGCCCCCATGTCCCGGTCCCGGGGAATGGCGTCACCGGGAGGGTACTCCTCCGGTAATCCCTCGGGAAATAATTCCCCTAGCGTGCATTCCGGAGTTAAGCGGCTCTCCCCAGAGGATCGCCAACGGCTAGCTAATATGCTGCGCGCGCTGCAGATCCAGCAGCAAGCGCACGCGGAAGCGCAGCCTCCTGCCTCCGCGGAAGCCAGCGCTGGCGCAAGCAGGCCGGCGGAAGGCGGAGCGGAACGGCCCGCGGAAGCTGGCGCGGAGAGGGGCGCGGACATGGCGGTGGATGCGCCGGCGTGCGCGCAGGGAGGGGAGCGGGAGCGACAGGGCCGGGATATGGCGGGGGCGAATGGGGAAGCAGGGGGGACGTGGGGCGATTCGCCTTCGTCGCCTTCGTCGCCTCCTCCGGGGGGAGCCATGAGGTGCGGTTCGCGGGGGGACGAGGGAGGGGACGAGGGGGAGAACGAGCGGGGGGACGAGGGTGGGGACGAGCGGGGGGGCGAGCGGGGGGGCAAGAGAGGAGAGGCGAGATGCGAGGTGAGAGGGAGAGGCGAGAGAGGGGAAGTGTGAGGAGAGGTGGGGGGGAAGGTTTGGGGGTGGGGGGATATAAAGAGATGCTTGAAAGGAGGCATTTCAAAGTGAGATGTGGCATGGGTGAAAGGTTGGGGGTGAAGGTTCAAAGTGAGGTATGAGGAGAGTTATGGGGAGAAGTGTGAGGAGAGGTGTGGGGAGAGAGGCTCGAGAGGAGGCATGAAGGGAGGGTTGAGCCGAGGCATGGGGGGAGGGGGTGGAGGCTAAGGGAAAAGGTGTGAGGGCAGGTTTCGGGCTGAGAGGGGGCATGAGGGGAGAATTTGAGGATGGTTGTGAATACGCATGGTGCGAGCAAGGAGAGGCGGCACCCATGAAGAAATGAGGGAAAGAGTATGGGCTGGATTCGAGAGTCAGAAAAGCTGACATTTGGGCTGCCTCAGAAGTTGTATACCTCATTTGGTCTGTGTGAGGGCAGAAGGCGTGAAGAAAGAGGATGAGAAGAGATATAGAGAGACCCACTCCGGCGCCTCAGGGCTTCTGGCGCCTCTGGCGGGAGATGGCGCACCTCTACTTTGACCTGCGCCCTCTCCTCCCTCCCCGTTTCGATGGAAACAACAGCCATAAAGACATCCTGGAAATAGTGCGCAGGCACTCGGGTGCGCTGGTGCGGCCAGCTGTGCTCGTTCATTCATGCGCTCACCCTCCCCACCCCCCATCCCCATGCGTGCATCCCCAGCCGTAAAGACATTCTGGAGATAGAGCGAAAGCACTCGGGCGCGCTGGTGCGGCCAGCAGCATCAAGGGACGGGGCGGGTGCAGAGGCGGCACAGACAGTGCTGATGATGGACTGGTGGGAGATGGCGGATCTTTTCTTGCAAATGCTCTCCCTCCCTGGACCCCATCCCCATGCATTTGTCACACCAGTCGCAAGGACATATTAGAAATTGTGCGCAAGCACTCGGGCGCGCTGGTGCGGCCAGCGGCATCACGGGACGGGGCGGGAGCAGAGGCGGCACAGACAGCGCTGACGATGGACCGGCAGTACTGGCGGGAGATGGCAGACCTCTTCTTTGTGCTGCACCCTTCTATTCATATGCTCTCCCTCCTCCCTGCCCCCTTGCCCCATGGACACACCAGTCGCAAGGATATTTTGGAGATAGTACGGAAGCATTCTGGCGCTCTGGTGCGGCCGGCAGCGTCTCGGGACGGGGCGGGTGCGGAGGCGGCGCAGACGGCGCTGATGATGGACCGGCAGTACTGGCGGGAGATGGCAGACCTCTTCTTTGTGCGCGGCGTGCAGCTGAGGGGTGATGCCACTCAAGACGGCTCGTTCCGGGATGTCGTGTTCTTTGTCAGAGACGAGGTGGGTTGTGGCCGAGGTGGGTGGGAGGTCGGTTGGAGGGTTAGTGGAGAGGGGGTAGGGGAGGGAGATGGCGGATCTCTTCTTTGTGCGCGGCGTGCAGCTGCGCCAAGACGCCACCCAGGATGGGTCCTTCCGCGATGTGGTGTTCTTTGTCAGAGACGAGGTGGGTTTGTTTTGTAGCCTCTGGAGTGGCGTGGTCGATTAGAGGCAAGGTGGCTTGAAGGCGAGGTGAGGTGTAGTCGAGGTGGGTCTGATGTACCATTGTGGCGTGGTGTCGTTGCTTCCATGGTTTCTCTCCCACTCGCCCACCCGTCTCATTCTCACGTGCCATTTTCTCCCACCCATCCCCCCGACTCACCCATCCCTCCCACTCACCCATCTCACCCACTCAACCTTCCCCCCCACTCACCCATCCCACCCACTCAACCTTCCCCCCAATTCACCCATCCCTCTCACTCACCCATCCCTCCCACGTACCCATCCTCTCTCCCATGCAGTCGCCTGCAGCAACACCCCGCCAGGCAGATGGTGGGGGAAATGACATGGGGGGCACGGCAGGCAGGGGCGAGGGCATGGAGGCAGTGGAGAGACGAAGGCCATACTTCGCCCGGCGCAGACAGAGCAGCGTGAGTGACAACCTTGCCTGTGATGGTCGTCGTTGGGGGCTGTCATCTTGCCTGGTAACTGCGCCGTGCTTGCCATCCGGTGACTTTTGAGTTTACTAAAAAATGCAAACTTGCCTGTGATGGTCGTCATTGGGGGCTGTCTGTCACCTTGCCTGGTAACTGCGCCATACTTGCCACGCCTCTCTGCCATGCCTCTCTGCCACGCCTCTCTGCCACGCCTCTCTGCCATGCCTGTCTGCCATGCCTCTCTGCCACGCCTCTCTGCCACGCCTCTCTGCCACGCCTCTCTGCCACGCCTCTCTGCCATGCCTGTCTGCCATGCCTCTCTGCCACGCCTCTCTGCCACGCCTCTCTGCCACGCCTCTCTGCCACGCCTCTCTGCCACGCCTCTCTGCCACGCCTCTCTGCCACGCCTCTCTGCCACGCCTCTCTGCCACGCCTCTCTGCCACGCCTCTCTGCCATGCCTGTCTGCCATGCCTGTGTCTGCCATGCCTGTCTGCCATGCCTGTCTGCCATGCCTGTGTCTGCCATGCCTGTGTCTGTCTGCCATGCCTAACTGACTGACTTCTCTCCTCCATTCACTCCCATTCTCTGCACCACTCTGCACCATTACACATCCCTCTGCACTGCTATGCACATGGTGGCAGCTGGGGGAGATCCTGGGCGGCAGTGGGGAGAGCATAGACTGGCGGCGCACCTTCTATCTGAACCTCATCTGCCACACCGACTACTCGCTCACCATCGCCGTCTGCAGGTCCGCTTCGTGTGTGTGTGATGAGTTGTGTTGGGGATGGGCTGAGTGTGGGTGGGCTCAGTATGGGTGGGCTCAGTATGGGTGGACTGAGTGGGAGCGAGCTTTGTACAAGTGAGTAGTGGCTGCAGGTAGCACATGCACACATATATGCAAGCACACTGTCAACACACACCCTCCTTTCACCTGTCTCCACACCCCTGCCCTCCGTTTCTCCGTGCCCCCGCCTTCCCGTTCTCGCCCCATGCCAGTCGCACGGCCCTGGAGAACCAGAAGCGGTCAGGACGAGCCGTGCCGCCCATAATGAAGGTACGGTGCCGTCCCCCCTGTGCCATCTCTCTCATCCTCCTCACCCTACCCCTCCACATCTCGCCTTTCCTCCCCAATTTCCACTGGAGTTTCCTTTTCCCCTTTCTCCTTGCCATTCCGTCACCTCATCCCCTCATCCCTTTTCCCATCCACCGGCCATGCCATCACCTCACCCATGCCATCCCCATGCCATCCCCATGCCACCCCCATGCCATCCCGATGCCATTCCCCATGCCATTCCCCATGCCGTTCCGCATACCATACCCCATCCCATCCCCCATCCCACCCCTCGTGCCATTCCCCATCACATCATCCCCATACCTGTGCCATCCTCCCCGCCCCGGCACAGGTGACGAGGCGAGCATACGCCTCACCCAGTAGAGCCCTCATCGACACAAGCCTTCCTCTGCCCCCGTCAACATCCCAGGCAAGTGGCACCCTGGAGTGATCGTTTGTGCTTTGTGATAAGGGGCAACGTGCAGGCAAGTGGGACACACACACACAAACACACACACACACACACACACACACACACACACACACACACCTGTCCTTGTCCACCACGTTCACCACGTTCCATCCTGCTCCCTTCCTTCATGCCTATCCCCCCAGCAGGACCCAGAGGTGACGGAGGCGTATCCCAACATCTGCTTCGCCATTGACTCCTCCGACCGCCCATTCGAGCACACAACACGGCGGTCCACAGGAGCATTGACTGTTCCTCGTCTCTGCCTCAGGCCCCGATCCCCCTTCCCCTTTCCCTCCGTAACCCTCCCCCCACCAGGACCCAGAGGTGACAGAGGCGTATCCCAACATCTGCTTCGCCATTGACTCCTCTGACCGCGCCTTTGAGTCCGTGGTGGGTTTTGTTACGATCTCTGTGCCCCATACCCCATGCAACATGCCCCATGCGCCATGCACCATGCACCATGCCCCATGACCCATGACCCATGCCCTGTGCACCCATACCTAGTGGCCCATATACCCTTTGTTCCATGCCCCATGCCTCAATCTCCAGTATAGCATGCAGCGTAGCCCATAACCCATGTCACATGCCTCATTCCCCTTGCCCCCCCTCTCTCCCCTCCCCCCCCCCCAGGTGCTGAGGGGCAGCTACCTTCCCCACAGGGGGGCAGCCTTCCCCGCCCAGGACACCGTTGAGAAGACCCTCGCTGACGGGCAGCACCCAACACACTGTTCCATGCCCCAAGCACGCCCCATGCACTGCCCCATGCCCCTCGCATACCCCATACTCCATAACCCGTGCCTCAAGTGTACCCATGCCCCATACCCAATGCCCCGTGTCTTCTCCCCCAACCACCCCCCACCCAGGTGCTGAGGGGCAGCGACCACTGCTTCTGTGTGCTGCTGAGCGCGCACAGGGGGGCGGCCTTCCCCGCGCAGGACACCGTCGAGAAGACCCTCGCGGACGGCCAGCGCCGTGTGCTGCAGCGCGGCACCAGCAGCGAGGCTAAAGTGCTGGGAGAGGCGTCAGGAGACGGGCCCAAGGTGAGGAAGTGGGGATTGGGGGGTTGGTTTTATGGGCCTTCCCCGCGCAGGACACTTTTGAGAAGACCCTCGCGGATGGGCAGCGCCGCGTGCTGCAGCGCGGCACAAGCAGTGAAGCGAAAGTGCTGGGGGAGGCAGGGGACGGGCCCAAGGTGAGAGGAGAGAAGGGGGGAAGGAGGGGAGGGGGTGGGATGAGAGGGTTGAGAAGGGGGAAGACCCTCGCGGATGGGCAGCGCCGCGTGCTGCAGCGCAACACGAGCAGCGAGGCTAAAGTGCTGGGGGGGGCAGGGGACGGGCCAAAGGTGACAGGGAGAGCGTTTGGGGGAGAAAAACTCTTGAGGTGTGGCTTTCGGGGGGGGGGGGGGGGGGGGGGGGAGGGAAGGGGAAAAGGGGTTGTGAAGTGAGGGAGTGTGCTTCTCGCAGAAAAGGAGTTGCACTGCTTGGTGCGTGCTGTCTGTGGTCGCTTTCGCATGCTTTGACCTATGCCACAAGCCATTCTGTATCCCATACCACACGTCATGCCATGGCCCGTGCCCTCGCAGATCACACTCTTCTCAGGCTTTGTGAGCTACCCCATGCTCAAGACCTCCTTCCAAGGTACGTCATTTGAGGCAAGAATGGTATTTTGAAGCTCCTAAAGAAATTTGTTTCAGGCTTTGTGTGCTACCCCATGCTCAAGACCTCCTTCCAAGGTACACTTCCCCTTGAGCTTCCAGCTTTCCAGATTCAGAATCTTTAATGCTCAGAATTGTCTGTGTGGTTGTTGATCTAGCACGTCCGCCATGCCACCTCACAGAACCGTTTCCCACCACCCTCCGCTCCACTTCCAACCCCCCTCCCCCCAGCAGGTCTCTTCTCCATGTGGGGTTCTGCCTCCCCCTCCCCCATGAAACCAGCGGGGCTGGTTCTCCGCGGCCCAGGGGGTAAGGGAGCCGCCAACCTCGCAGTCTGCCCCCTCCCCCTCCCCCCACTCCCCCCCAAGCCCCCTCTCTCCCCCCGCCCACCCCTCGCACCCAAACCCCCTCTCTCCCCACGCCACCCCTCTCGGACCCACCCTTCTCGCCCTTCCCACTCTTCTCACTCTCAACCTTCCTCCCGGTTCCAGCTCCCACCATCCCAACAGCCTCTTTCCCCCTCCGCCCGCTCCCAACAGCCCCCTTCTTCCCTCTCCTCGCCCACCCATCCCAACTCCCCCCCACAGCAACAATCACCCACCCACCCCTCCCACCTGTCTCCAACCAGCCCTCCCCAGCCATCACCCACCAGCCCATTACCCTCAAACCGCTCCCAACCGCCCAATAGCCCTCCAAACTCCAATCACTCACCATCAGCGAATAGCCCATCTTCATCCAGCAATCCTCTGCAATCCGGCCGTCCATCCAGCCTCTCGGTGCAATCCGGCCGTCCATCCGGCGTGCCGGTGCAATCCGGCCGTCCATCGAAGCCGTTGCACCGGCGCATGCCATCGCTGCAGGAGCTGCAGAGCAAGCTGTGGGCCGTGCAGGCAGAGCTCATGGACCTCCTCGAATTAGAGGCTCAATCCGCTGCCACCACTGTCGCCGCCGCTGCCACCGCCGCCGCTGCTGTTGCTGTTTCTGCCACTGCTCCTGCTGATGGTGGTGGTGGTGGTGTGGTCAAAGTGGCAAGTGCGGATCGTGCTCGCACTGCTGCTGCTGCTGCTGCTGCTGCTGCGGCCACTGTCGCTGCTTGTCGAGATGGTGACGATGGGGACAGCATGATGCAAGTGGAGGAGGGCAGCCTCTCAGCAGAACGGGATTCCGCCAGCCTTGATCCTGCTGCCTCTGCTGCTGCTGCTCCTGCAGCTGCTGATGCTGCTGATGCTGATGCTGACGGCATGCAGACAGAAGGATGCGAAGCAGATTCAGCAGCAATGGCAGCACCATCACCCACTCCCTCACCACCCCTCCCCGTTCCTGCTCCCCCTCCCGCCTCCCACTCTCCACCCTCCCCATCTCCACCCTCTCCCTCCCCAACCACTCCCCTCCCCCCCGCACGCACCTTCCAGCAGCAACTCCCCTCCTCCCTTCCCCCAGCCAAGCCCGCAAAGGAGGAAGCACGGAGGCTGCGGCTGCTGGAGCTACAGGGGGAGCTAAGGCTGGTGCAGGAGCAGCTGCAGATGCTGCAGTCCCAGAGCAAGGGCAAGCGCCCGCACCCCTCCGATCACCACCACCGGCAGCGGCCCCCGCCGTCCCGATCCATGCAGGCCTCTCGGGGCAAAGCGAGAGGCAGTGGCAACACTGGTGGGGACGGAGGAGGGTGTGGGGAAGGAGAGGAAAGGGGGCTTGAGGGCAGTGAGAGCAGTGGCGGGTCGTCGAGGCTCTTGCAGCGGCCAGTAGTGGCTTCCCCGCCAGTAGTGGCCGCCCCTAGAAGAGCCATGGTGCACCAGGATGGAGACAGCCCCACTGCCAGACACCCACATGGCCACACTGCTTCAGGTGGATCCTCAGGAGAATCACCTGAAGGTTCACCTGGTGCCCGTGGCTCAGGTGGTAGCAGCAGAGCAGGGAGCAGCAGGGCAGGTGGCAGCAGCCGTTCCCCTGGAACTGCTGGTGCTGGTGGTGGCAGTGCGGGTGGTCTTGCTGCATCGTTGCTGCAAGGAGGGATCGGTAGAGCAGCAGGAGGAGTGGTGAGAGAGGAGCCTCTGCGGTGCTGCCTGGCTTCCCTCTCCCTGCCCTGGGAGTCACTCGCCTTTGACCTCCTCTTCAAGGTACCATCTCCTTGCCATCTCCTATCCATCTCCTTCACTCACTCTCTCTCTCCCTCCCCTCCTGATTTTTCGCTTTTTTGTTCTTGAGCCTCGTCTCCCCGGCCATGCCCATCCTGTTTCTCCCCTCCTCCCTTGACTTGTTTTCCCGGGTCTCGGTATTTTGTCCTCACTGTATGCATCTCCAACGTGTGTCGTGTTGTCTTGCAGGAAATGCCAGTCAAGGTGGACATTGGTGGTCGTATATTCCCCCCTCCTCGAAATCCTCCCAGCGCAGAAGACTTTTGAGCAGAATGTTTCTAGGCGGGCAATCTCCAAATCCCGTTGTTGGCCGAGCTCTTGCACTGAGTGCCATATGCACTTCGTGTAACCAGGTTAAGTTAGTTACATATAGCAGTGTGGGTCCATCTGTCCCCTCCTGTAAACTCAGCTACCACACCAAAACTTGTGTGGTTAAAGATGTTGGGCTGAGAAAATAGCCCTTAGGATCTTTGCAGGGGTGAACTTGTGAAGAAATGAGGAATGAATTGACTAAGGGAAAGTTGGGTACAAAAGCAAACCCTAGAAAACTGTACCCCATATGTGCTACCCCACTATAGCCTACAGTAGCTATGTCATATAAATCTGACACACCCCCATAGGCAAAGTGGGGGAGAACAAGGGGTCACAAGACCAGTCAAGCAAAGCAAAGCAAGCTCAGGGTGGATCACAATGTCACCACACATTCCGAGCACAAGTTCAAGGCCACAAGGCCAGTTCACATGCAGGATTACATATATATATAAGGCTAGACAAGCAAGAGCAGGTGTATATATATATGCAACAGTACAAACAAGGTCAAGGGGTGAGCAAGTGAGGCAAGGTAGGCACAAGACCCAGCTGAGTACAGAAGCGCTGATGATCACAAGGCGCAAGTGCCTTGGTGAAGATATCAGCAGTGTTGGCCTCAGAGGCCACGTACGCAAGCCGCAGCTGACCACGCTGCTGTAGCTCACGAGCAAGGAAGTAGCGGAGAGCAATGTGCTTCGTTCTGTGCTCCAGTCTCTGCTCTCGACACAAGGCCAGCATGGCCTTGTTGTCTACGTACAGCACTGGAGGAGAACGAGGCGGCTCTCCGAGGTCACTCAGCAGGTAGGTGAGCCAGCGAAGCTCCTGTGCAGCCATGGCCCCGGCGTAGATCTCAGCCTCACAACTGGAGCCGGGAACAGAAGACGAGCGGGTAGCCCGCCACGAAACAGAGCCGGAACCAAGGCTGAAGGTGTAACCCTGTGACGACCGCTGCGTAGCCTGGTCGTCAGCCCAAGAAGCGTCTGCGTGCCCAGTGAGGACCACTGGACTCTGCCCTCCAAGCACAAGCCCCATGCCCGACGTACTGCACAAGTAGCGCAACACCCTCTTCGCTGCAGCCATGTGCTCCGGTCTGTGTCTCCCAGGAGCAACATAGCGTGCAAGAATGCTAAGAGGGTATGCAAGGTCAGGTCGTGTGCAGGTCATCAGGTACATGAGGCAGCCAACAAGCTCTGGGTACGGGCCACTCGACTCTACGGACTCATCCGAAGGCAGAGCTGAGAGCGAGTGGCGAGTAGGCAGAGGAGTGGCCTGAGGCGAGGAGTACGTGAAGCCGAAGCGCTGAAGGACCTGCTGCACCATGTGTGACTGAGTCAGGGTAATGGTGCGGCGTGCTCTGTCCCGGGTGATCTGCAAGCCAAGGTAGCTGCGCAGTTCACCCAGGTCTGTGCACGTGTGTCTCTTCTGCAGCTCGGACTTCACGTGGGCGAGTCCAGCAGTGTCAGCTGTGGCGAAGACCAAGTCGTCGACGTACACGAGGATGTAGAACGGCGGCAAAGAAGTGTCGGTGCGCAGAAACAGCGACGGGTCGGCAGTAGAGGGAGCAAACCCAAGAGCCGCAAGTGTAGTCCTCAGTGTGTCGTGCCACTCACGCGGTGCCTGGCGGAGACCGTAGACTGGCCGCCGGAGGCTCCACTGGGTGCCAGGAGGAAAAGACCCAGTGAAGCCAGGTGGGCGACGCAGCCAGATCTCCTCGTGCAGGCTGCCCTGCAAGAAAGCAGTGCTGAAGTCAAGAGAGTGCAGCTCGTAGTCGCAGTGAGCAGCTATGTGCAGCAGTACCCGAAGAGTGGTCATCTTCGGGGTGGGAGAGAAGGTCTGAAAGTAGTCAACTCCCTGCCGCTGACTGAAGCCACGAGCCACGTAACGCGCCTTGAAGACAGGCGGAGAACCCGGCGGCCGCTTCACCCTGAAAATCCACATGCCACTGACGATGTTCGCCCCAGGCGGGGGAACCTCGTCAACGTAGGTGCCTGTGGACTTCCAGGAAGCCATCTCTGCGTCCATAGCTGCCTGACACTGAGAGGATTAGGGACCCTCTATCGCCTCCGCGTAAGAGCGCGGAGTCGGGATGTCAAGTGCATCCGGGTCTCCCTCAGGGGTAAGCAGTACGGACACGAGATGAGGTGAAGCAGCAGCCAAACACTGGAACTCCTCCTGCCTGTCCTCAAGGACGTCCGTGCCAAGGGCACACTCACCCCCGACGGACGGAGGACAGACAGACTCAGACTCAGCAACAAGACTAGCAGCGTAGTCTAGACGACAGCGAGCAGCAAAGTCGACGAGCTCAGTAACTAGGGCAGACGCAGCAGTGGACTCAAAGGAAGGGTAAGTGACAACAGTAGCAAGGAGACGCGTGACAGTAGGACTGGCAGCACGAAGAGAGTCCGACTCCGGGTCAGGAAGAGCAGGAAGAGAGGACTCAGGAGGAGAAGGCAAAGGGGCACGCAGAGGAGCAGTGGACGGACGCAGAGACATCCGGTGCGTGCCAGGGACAGGAGGAGGACGCTGACGCGAACCACGAGCACTAGTGCGAGCAGCACGGACAGGCGACGCAGGGCGAGACGCAGGCTCACGACGCTCAGCAAGACCTCCAGTAGGACCAGTGTAGGGAGAAGGAGCGGGCAGTGGGGAGGCCGGCTGTAACTGTAACTGTGACGGGACAGGCTGTGGACACTCTAAGGGAGGAGGAGGACCAGTAGAAGGCGGGAGACCAAGAACCTGCTGAAGGAGCGGAACGAAGTACGGCCTAGGCCGCGCGGCGACTCCAGACACAGCAGGGACAGCACCAGTACCCCCAGCGGCAGCACTAGCGCCAGCAGCACCTCCAGCTCCAGTACCTCCAGCAGCACCAGTAGCACCCCCAGCAGGACCGCCTCCAGGACCGACAGCAGTAGCCTCAGCGCCAACACCCTCAGCAGCTCCAGCTCCAGTCGTACCCGCAGGCCCAGCAGCTCCAGTACTCCCAGTACGAGCACCTCCGGGACCCGCGGCACCAGCACCCTCAGCAGCCGAAGAACCTCCAGCTCCAGCAGCACGCCTCCAGCGCCGGGCAAACCACTCGCGCAGCTCCTGTGGAGAGAGTGGCTCCCGCCGAGACGAAGCACCCGGAGAACCTCCAGGCTCAGCACCGCCAGACGCCACACGAGCAGGCCCAGCTCCCTCAGGCTCCGCACCCCCAGGCTCAGCACCTCCAGGCGTAGCACCCCCAGGCGTAGCACTCCCAGGCTCAGCACCCCCAGGCTCAGCACCCCCAGTAGTAGCACCCCCAGGCTCAGCACCCTCAGGCTCAGCACCCCCAGTAGTAGCACCCACACGCTTAGCACCCCCAGAGTCAGCACCCCCAGGCTCAGCACCCTCAGCAGCACCAGAGTCACCAGTAACCTCGACAGGCTCGACTGCGTCTACCTGGGACACACCTGAAGGGGCAGGACCCTGAGGGGGGAGGGGGTCTACCGGGGGGGGACCTGGGACAAGGAAGAGCGGTGGCGGGGGGAGGGACGGAGTGCGGTAGGGGAAGAGGCGGTAGTAGGGGACCGACTCGTCAAACGTGACGTCCTGGGAGGACAGAACACGGCGAGAGGTGGGGTGGTAGAACTGCCACCCTGGCGCGTCAGGGGGGAAGCCAAGGAAGACGCAAGGAGCAGCACGAGGGGACAGCTTGTCCGCAGACAAGTCGCGGACAAACGCCCGAGATCCCCAGACACGGAACGCAGACGCATCGCCAACCTTCCCCGTCCACAGCAAGGCTGGGGAGGTCTCCGGCATGGAGACCCTGGGGTGAAGGTTGATCTGATGCGCCGCGTACCGAACCGCAAACGGCCACAGAAAATGGGGGGCAGCCGCATGCATCATGGACGTACGGGCGACGTCCATGACCATGCCAATGCGGCGCTCAGCAATCCCATTTTGCTGTGGAGAGTCCGGAAGCGTGAAGGTCTGGCGGATGCCTCGTGCACGACAGTAGGCTCGCAGAAGGCCAGAGGAGAACTCTCCACCTCTGTCAGAGTGCAGACGCAGAACAGGAAAGTCCGAGCCGAAGCTCTGCCTGAGCTGGAGACGAGCTGCGCGGATCCAGTCGATCAACACCTCAGTGACATCACCCTTGCTGCGCAAGGGGAAGACTGTGGTGTAACGCGAGTAGTCGTCAACCACCAGCAGGAATTAGCGCTCGTGACCCTGTCCACGGACGCGGGCCGGGCCCCACACGTCCATGTGAAGCGTCTGCAGCGGGGCCTCTGTCGGAGGAAACTGGGAGGAGTGAGGGGCAGCCCGCTGCCGCCCCTCGACACAGGGGACGCAGGTAGGGCCAGGCCCCGGAGGAAGGGGAGGGAGGGACCGGGGAAGACCAGAGACAAGGACACGGGAGGCCATGCCTCGGAGACGAAGCAGGGAGGGGTGACCAAGGCGGTGGTGCCAGAGGAGAGTCTCGTGAGACAGGAGGCGACACGAACAGGGGGCAGACTCAGGACCAGACCTGGACGCTGCAGCAAACACCTGACCCGACGCAGCTACCTGACCAGACGCAGTGACTGGAGGAGACGCAGTGGTCAGTGTGTACAGGCTCGACCCCGGCCGACGTGTAAACGTGGCCAGGTGTCGGCCTGTCCGAGCGTCCGTGCAGTGGGTCACCCGCTGACTCGCAGGAGTGAACTGGTGAACCCCCGCATCCTGTAGGTCAGCACCACTCACCAAGTTCGTAGAGAACGAGGGGAGGTAAAGACCAGACAGGGTGCCAGCGGGGGCCGCCGGACACGGGAGGACAGTGGAGAAGTGAGCAAGGACAGGACCCCCAGAGGGGTCTGCCAGGGAGACCGCAACCGGCCGACTGAGCGGCGTAAGCGTGGTGCGGTCTCGAAAGAAGGAGCGGGAAGCACCCGAGTCAAGAGTGAAGGTGTGTAAGGCCTGAGACGACGTGGTACCTGAGAGAGCAGACTCACCAG